TCCTCTAAACTAAAGGTTTGTAGTAGTTTTTTTCTGTTGATAATTTTAGGGCTGCCTCATTTTCTCTCCCCCACCCATTTAACTTCTCAATTATTCTATTACCTATGTATCTAGTTAGATGTATCTAGTTAGATGTATTTTCTCTGAAATACCTAGAGCGGTTTGTGGTTTTTTTTTTGGGAGGGTTCCAACTGTTTTAGACTTCTAAAAGTGGCCAGGTACAGGGGCTCATTCCTGTAGTCTCGGCACTTTGGGAAGCTGAGGTAGGTGGATCATTTGAGCCCAGGAGTTCAAGATCAGCCTGGGCAACATAGTGGGAGCTGGTCTCTACAAAGTAAACAAAAACTTAGCCTGGTGTGGTGGTGTGTACCTGTAGTCTCAGCTACTTGATGGGGCTGAGGTGGAAGGTGTTTGAGCTCGCGAGATCAAGGATGCAGTGAGCTGTGATCATGCCACTGCACTGCAGCCTGAGTGACAGAGTGAGATGCCGTCTCAAAACAAAGGGGACAATTTAAGGTTGTTCAGCCAGGAGGTTGAGGCTGCAGTGAGCCAAGATTGCACCACTGCACTCCAGCCTGGGTGACAGAACAAGACCCTGTGTATAAGAAATAAAACAAAGAAAGAAAAGAAAACAATAACACAAGTTGAACAACTTCAGCAAGAATCTTGAGGCCTCTGAGTAAACCAACACGAAGCATAGGAACAACACATTAGTATGAGATCAACTTCCTCTTTACGCATCATACTAGTTGTTAGGTACGGGTTGTGTGGCTCAACCCTGTAGAAAACCATGCACATTTTAGTTTATGTAATTGTCAGTCCTTAAAGTTGTGCAGTTTACAACGCGGTCATCTGTATCTAACAACACCGAGTAGGTAGACATTGTCAAACCTCATTTATCTTAGGTATTAATATTTATCTATTAGTAGCATTAAAGTTAGTCTTAAGTAATAGAAAGAAAGAACAGTAGCCTAAAGAAAACAATTATTTTCTTACATGTAAAAGTTTGTAGAGATGCAGTCCGGAGCCAATATAGCCACTTCTCTCCACAACGTCCACAGCACCCAGACGCTGGGTTCCTTCCAGCTCAAGAGCTCAACAGTTCCCGCAAGTGTGAACCTCATTCTTGTCAAGCTTAGCTTCCTAGAAGGAAACATCTTCCTTCTAGGCAGCAGAATAGAGGAATGGCCAAACAAAACAGAACAACAGCAACAACAAATCACACCAAGGCAATGGAAAAATACCAAGTGTCTCCTAAGGAAGAGTCCCAGTAGCTACTCTGACCCTCTGCTTACATCTCCTTGGCCAGCACTTTCAGGACTGGGTAGTGGATTTAGATGGTTCCTTCTTTCATCTATGGTAATCTTTAATGGGGAGAGAATCTGTTACCATACATTGATACTAATGCTCTGACCTTAAACTTAAGAGACTTTAGAAGACTCAGGATGTTAAAGGCCCCTCAAAAGAAATAGATACCTAACCAGAAACCTAGAACATAGATTTTCAGTGCTAGATTTTATCGAGATGAAAAAATAGGTAAAAATTACCCAGCTAGTTTAAAAGTAATGTAGGACTGAAAATCAAGTTTTTCAACTCCTGGTTCAGTGATCTCTTCATGATAGGCTGCTTCACAGGAAAACTGTCTTCCTCCTGTGGCATATTAAACATGACTGCAAATTATTTGCAAATCCTCCCCTCAAGTGGTGGAGTTTATTTTAATCTCAGTTGGCCTTGGGACTTGCATTGACAAATAGAATGTGACAGAAGTGATACTGTAGAGCTTCCAAGCCTAAGTCTCCAGAGCCTTGCAGCATTTACTCTTGCTCTCTTAGAATGCAGCTGCCATGGGAACTATCCCAACCTAGCCTGCTAGAGAGCTCCATGGAGGAGATCTGAGGCACCTTGGCCAACAGCCTTAGTCAACCATGAACTATGTGAGTGAGACCACACTGGACTAAGTAGCTCTGAACGGGCCTGCTATGTGAAAACTAACACAAATGAGTGCAGAGGATACTTCGGCTTTTCCTAATTTGCCAATCCATAGAAAGGAGAGAATAATATTTTTAAGGCACCAAATAGAGTTGTTTATTATGGAGCAATAAGTAACTGGTATGTTTCCTAACCCCTTAATCATATTTCTTGTGTTCTTTAAGGGATCCACAGAGGGAGACCACACAGCTTGTCCTAATCTTTTGTTTTTCATTGTTCCAAGTGAGACATTCAAGCGTAAGAATAAATGCTTGTTTCTCTAACTATTGAGTTTCGGGTGGTTTGTTACAAACAATTATTATGGTAGTATTTGACTAAGACCTTGGTTTTAGCAAGAGCTTATGTAAATTTTCTTGAGGAAACATACATGGAATTGACACAACTTATTAGAGTCTCTGTGTTCAGAGTACTGCCTTCAACACCTGTTAGACTGGGAAGAAAAAAAGTGGTGGCATGTAGAAAATACCAAAAACAGGCTGGCACAGTGGCTCACACCTGCAATCCCAGCACTTTGGGAGGCCCAGGTGGGTGGATCACGAGGTCAGGAGTTCAAGACCAGCCTGGCCAATATGATGAAACCTCATCTCTACTAAAAATAGTTCTTATTTCCCTCACAAAATTTATGTGAAAACTGAAGGACAACACAGAAGAAAAACATTTAGCACATTCCTAGCACAAAGGAAGTGCTCGGTAAAAAGTGGTTGTTATTTTTATTATTACCAGTATTTTATTTGATACTCTTATGGCATGAAACAAAAGCTCCTGGAATTAAAATAGACAGACCGGAGAACTAAGGCAAGCGGGAGGCAGTGTCCACAAAGATAAATGTGGTCCATGTGCCCCAGCTGTTAACCCACCTCTTCTCAGTGCTTAGATCTGAGTGGAGGCTGCTGCACTTCCATGACCAGGTATGGCTGCGCTGGTGATGACTCACCATGGAGTAGGACTTGGGTGATAAGAGGAAGCCATGCTCCTGAGACAGCTCCCAGGACGAAGGTTGCTTTGCCTTCAGGAGGCAGCTGAGTAGGGATTGGTGAACCTGGTAGCTATGCTGCCTCATCCCTGTGGGGCTTAGCTTCTCTGACAGGGAGATAATCTGAGTCTAGGCTGTGGTGCTGTCCACAGGGTAATGTCACGTAGCACACTCTTTTTTCAACTTTCTCTTATCTAATCTAAGTGGTCTACATTATCATTTTCCTAAGGAAACATCAGCTCAGGGGATTTGATTGGTAGAAAAGGTGTGAGGAAGGGAATATGTGTGAAGGAACTAAAAGCCCATGGGTAGAGTGTTGGACTTTCTGGGGAAGTGAAGTTTGCAAAGGAGGCACCATCAGGATGTACCCACACAGACCAAACACCCCTAGAATCCTGAGTCATCATTTTCCCCTCATGCTGATTCCTACTCCCACCCTTAACCAAAATTCCACTGTTTCTATCACTGGCATCACTATTCCCCTAGTCATGCAGAAATGCAGTGTGGAGCTCCTCTGTGGCTGTATGATAGACCCCTCCTCCATTCAGTCCATTGCCATGACATTATTCCATACAATTTTTCTTTCTATGCACTTCCCTCCCCTCTGCCATCCCCCCCTGGGCTGGGCCCTATCTTCATCATTCCTCCAACGCCAAGCTAAGCACTCTGTTTCTTGTCTTTTATCCAATCAGTCCAGATTCCCAATACCACACCAGCATTTCTTAGATATTATTGTGTCTTGTCACACCTTTCCTCAAAAGCCTTATTTTCCCCAATGCTTTCTTTTCTAATGTGTGAAGTTCTGACTTTTCTTTATGACTTTCATGACACCCCAACCGTCTGGCCCCAAGGGGCAGAATGGCTTTACTCCACTTCTCCACACCCACCCTCATCTGGCAAGTACACCACGGCCCTAGAACAGTGCTGATAGAATCTGGAAATATCGCCAGGGAATCATTTGCAAGACTATCCTAATAAATTACATTTTTTTTTTTCCTGGAATGGGGAAACAAGGGACAGAGGTGAAACACCTTCCCCCAGAAATGTGCTTGCCTCACTAACACCACAGGTAAGGGCGTAACAGGATGTGAGGAAGAGCATTTCTAGCTTGGAATGCAGTTCATTTCTATTAACATTTAGAAAGCATCTTGAGTGGGCAGAAATGAAAACCAGACACTGTACCTGCCATGACAGAGTGTCAATCAATAAGGAGAGGAAGAGGCAAGCTACCAGTGTAACAGAAAGCAGAATGAAAGAAAGAAGGGCTCAGTAAAGGCTTGTTTTGTTTGTAGAAAGCATGAGACCCTATGAGGTGGCATAGGCAAGTATTACCTTCATTTTCCAGATGACAAAACTTGCTTACCTGCCTCAGAGTTTAAGTGGCTTGTTTATTGTCACAGAGCTAATAATTAGCAGATTAGGGTCTCCTAGCTAGGTGATCTTTCGAATGCACAACTCTGCCAGCAGCCAGCAAAGCTATGAAACACCGAGATAAACAATTAAGCATGCTTGGGAACATTGTGAATGGGCATGGAGCTGGGAGGCCTCCTGGGAAAGGTGGCATTTAACCTGGGAATTGATGAATCCCAGAGAAACAATCAGACAGGTGTGAAAACAAAATTAAAATGGGGACTGGGCCCGAAAATTCCCAGGCAAACAAAACCAAGCAACTTAAAAATTGCTGTATTCTTGCAAAAACTACAAACGAAACTTCACTTGGGTCATTTCTGATAAATGCTTATGATAGATAGAAGTAAAACTTAACCCCAGCCAATGATAAGGAGCTAACTAACATATGATTATGTGACTAAGAACTTTCCAAAAAGTTACCTAAAAAAAGGCAATTACGCAACGGCAAAGCAATCAAATAATGTTTTATTTTGCTTCTGTAACTTCCCAGTAAATGCATGCCTCTGACATTCAGTCCTCGCAGCACTACACCTTTGTCGGTCTGGTGCTCCCCAATTCATAAATTGCTTCTTACTCAAATAAACTCTTTAAACTTTTACCATGCCTCATTTTTTTTTTTTATGTACAGAAGAAAAGAGAGAAGGAAGAATATTTTAGAAATAAAGGAACTTCATGGACAAAGTCACAGTGCAAGACAGGAGGAGACCAAGGGCAAGATTGCTTGGGGAGTGAAGACTCCCTCCATCTGCTCCCCTGAGAAGCTGAGATAAAGGGGGAGGAGAAGCCTGGGTGCCCTCCACTGATAAGCAGGCTCCACCCAGAAGCCAGTCGGTGTGTCTGGGGACAGAGGAAAGAGCAACAGAAGTGCCCCTTCTCTGGGGCGGGGGCAGAAGGGGGACCGTTTCCTGGAAACCCCGTTCTCCGAATCAGCACCTAGAGTGGAACCAGGCAGGATTCTGTGGCCACAGAGGACAGACAGATGGTAAGTCCCCTTTTGGAGTCGGAGGCCTAGGGTAAGGGGTGAGGGTGGCTGTATGTAAATGTCCTGTCCCCGCTGGAGGGGCGGGACTGTGAGGCTTACAGAGTAGAAAGGGGGAAAGAGAGGAAGGTCATGGGAGAGGGAGCGAGAAATGGCACATCCAGTGGACAGGTTCATTCTAGAGCCCATCTGGGAACATAGTCCTGATATAAAAATGTGTGTTGGGGGGCAGGGCAGGCAGAGGGGGCATCAAAATGGCCTGATAAAACTCTCTTTAATGCACTGCTTCCTGAACCAGCTTCTCTCTCCTCCTTCTCCCTCCACTCCAGGAGTGGGGGGACTGAAGTGAGGAAGAGCCCAGGGAACCCAACCAGGCAGGTGGAGTGGGGACTCTCTAGAGCCAGGAAGTAAGTGGCCTCCTCTCCTGGGGCTGGAATACACTGATGTTGTCATTCCTGCCTCTAAATTCACACAAACACTCATCCCATAATGGTCTGCTTCATCCTTACCCAAAACAGTTGACATTCCTTGTTTTCTCATCTCCCAGGAATGAAAGTAGGCCTGGCTTTAGAAATAATTGGGAGAATTATTTCTGTGTAAAGGGACCATGGCACTAACAGATTCATTCTCTCTCCCCTCTTCTCCTCTTCTTCCCAACCCTCTCTCTCAATCCTCTACCTTGTATCTTTCACCTCTTGGTTCCTCCCATAGATTTCTCCAGAAGAGAGGCTGCCTGTGGAAGGGAGCAGGCCATGGGCAGTGGCCAGGCGGGTGCTGACAGCTATCCTGCTTGTGGGCCTGCTCCTTTGTTCTTCTGTGCTTTTGTTCTACACCTTCTGGAACTGTGGCCCTCGTAAGCAAGCTCCCAGACCCCCTAACCTAGTCAGCCCTCCCCCAACCTTGGGGCCCAGTCCCTGCTCCTGGGGCTTCTGTTCACCTTGACCCTTGGGGTCCCCATGGTTCTTCTTCCTCCCTGCATCCTAACCATTTCCTTTTCACCAGCTCCTCCCTTAGTTACTCACCTGATGTTCTTTGCCTAGCCCCTTGGGGGAGCCCTGGTCTGTTTCCCTCTTCTTTCCCAGCTCTGAGCTTTTCCCCACAGGCCCCTGTGAGACACCTGTGTGTTTGGACCTCCGGGATCATTATCTGGCCTCTGGGAACACCAGTGTGGCCCCCTGCACCGACTTCTTCAGCTTTGCCTGTGGAAGGGCCAAAGGGACCAATAATTCTTTTCAGGAGCTTGCCAAAAGGAACAAAAACCGACTTCGGAGAATACTGGGTGAGCGAAGCAGGGTTGAAGATACTCTGTGCAAGCGGGTGACTCTGAGCCTAGAACCACCATGACTGCCCCGAACCCTGTGTAGTTGTGGAGCAACTGATGGGATAACAGGGAGGGATGATTGGAGATGACGGGGGAATAAATGAGGTAGGATAGTGGGAGCTGTCTGGGTTTGCTCCTCTCTCATGTTTCCTGTCGCCTCAGGTACCCTTCTTCCATTTCTCTTGGTCCCTCTCTGCATTTTGTCTTCATCTAATTTCCATCTTCTTTCCTTGTCCATACATCCTTAATTACTCCAATTTCTCCAGCTTGTCCCTTTCAGCAGCTCCATCTTTGTTGCTTCCTGCAAATGTTCAGCTTCTATCCTATGCATAGTGTCTTCCTCCAGCAGCATCTTCTCAGCACCTCCTGCATTTTCATTCTTTTCTCCATCACTCTTGTTCTCTAACCTCCGGAACCGCTAGTCTCACAATGCCTCCTTGTCAATATTACCCTCTCACTCTCACCGTGCCGCAGCTCCCCCTCTCACAATGATCTCTTGCTTCTTGCTTCTCCATTATAACATGGAACAAGTGGGATCATAGAGATGGGTGACTGGAGATGAGGGATGATTAAATGAAAGAGGTAGGATGGTGGGGTGACAAGTGAGAGAGCACTTCATCACTGTGCGGAAGAGAAAAAATGGGTAAGCACGAAGAATATGCTGGAACAAGAGGAGAGCTGAGTTAATTGGCAGTGGAAGTAAAGTTCCTGCAGATGGAGGCTGTAGAGGAAAACTGCCAGGACTGAGAGGAAAACCAGAGGAGGAGCTGAAACTGGGCAGGAGGTTGGAAGTGCGTCCTGGGAAGTTGGTGCATGGTGGTGAGGGTTTGGGAATAAGAACATATAAGATAGGCATGCATTTCCAGTGCAAGGGAACCTAAAGAATGTGTTGACACTGTCAATTGGAATCTGGGAAAAATAAATGCATCCCTCTGCCCTCCGTTTTTGATGGGGAAAGAGTGGGAGGTGGAGTCTCTTTGGGTAGATGGATACTTTCAGGGAAGGCACAGAGATAACAAGAAGAAACATGCTCAGGATACATTCTATTGTCTACAATGGGATGAACAGATATTAGGGGACTGAGGATGGAAAGAGTGTTAGGTATTAGAGGGTGGATGATTCAGAGAGACTTGCGTTTGATTATTGTAATGTGTGTGTTTGTTTCCTGGGATCAGTGGATGAGGAGTCTGGACTAGGGGAGTCCTCCCCTGTTTCTTCTCTTTGCTAAACCTTTCCCTATGAATTTTCTTCTCTCCGACTCCTTGAAGTTCTCTAGTTCCCTGAATTTCTCTAATTTCTTCAATCATTTATTTCCTGCCTTTCATTTCTCTCTTTTCTCCTTTGCTCATATCCCACTTATTGCTTTCTCCTTTCTTCCATGTCTTTTCCTTCTTGTTTTTCTTGCCCCACATTTCTTTTATTTTCCATAGCGTCTTCTCCACATTCCCTTTCCCTGCTTTCATGTTTTCATCAAATTGATCCATTCCAAATTGGGCAGTCCTCTCATCTTTCTTATTTTCCTTGTCTCTATTCCTCCCCCTCCTTCCATATTCTGTGTGAGTCTTTCTTTCCTGTAAATTCCATGTCTCCCACCCTCCCTGTCTGCCTCTATACCAGTTGCCACCCCCTTTATTCTCCTGCAGATGAAAAGAGTCAAATTCTGTAAAATATTTGAAAAGAGTTATTCTGAGCCAAATATGAGTGACCATGGCCTGTGATATAGCCTTCTGGCGATGCTGAGAACATATGCCCAAGGTGGTCGGGGCACAGCTTGGTTTATTATCATACATTTTAGAGAGGCACGAAACATCAATCAGATACATTTAAGAAATACATTGGTTTGGTCCAGAAGGTGGAACAACTCTAAGGGGCGGGGGTGGCTTCCAGGCTATAGGTGAACTTAAACATTTCCTATTTGACAATTGGTTAGGTTTGTCTAAAGATCTGGGATAGACAGAAAGGGAATGTCGAGGTTAAGATAAAGATTGTGGAGAGTGTCTGCCCTTAGAGACAATCGGTGACAAACGTTTCCTCTTCCGATTTTAGTTAATCGAAAGATCTAGCTATGTTAATAGAGATTCTTTATAGATGCACATTTTCCCCTACAAAGAACAGCTTTGCAGGGCCATTTCAAAATATGGCAAAGAAATATGGTTTGGGGTAAAATATTTTGATTTTTCTTCTTCGTCTCTTCATGTTATGCCAGAATCAGGTTGGAAAGTAAATCATGTTACATAGGATTTATAGGGCATGACTCCCCAGATCCCTTATATAGGAATTTGGGCAAGATAAAAATATCAGTGTTTAGTCCTCACTCCCATGCGTCCTTTCTAGAGGCCCAGAATTCCCCGCACCCAGGCTCTGGGGAGGAGAAAGCCTTCCAGTTCTACAACTCCTGCATGGATACACGTGCCATTGAAGCTGCGGGGGCTGCTCCCCTCAGACAAGTGATTGAGGAGGTGAGAAAAGTTGGAATATTAACTTTTCTGGGTACATCACATATGGGACCAACGCATGCTTGGGGCTGCCATTTTTTTTCTAGAGGGTGGGTCTTCTTCCTAAGGCCTCCCAAGTTCTAGGCGGGAGATGGAGATGAAAATGGTTATGTCAGCCGGGCGCAATGGCTCATGTCTGTAATCCTAGCACTTTGGGAGCAGAGGTGGGTGGATCACCTGAGGTCAGGAGTTCAACACCAGCCTGGCCATCATGGTGAAACCCCATCTTAAAAAAAGAAAAGTAAAGAAAATGGTTATGCCCTGTGAAAGTATCAAGACCTTGGAAGAAGTCAGAGAAACAACGATAGATGTGGCACCCTAGAGGAATCAAAGGGGCCAGATGGTAGCAGCTGCATAAAAGAAGATCAAGACAATGGGGGATGGGCCCCACAGATTCTTATGCTCAGCCCCCTCTCTCTCTTTTAAAGCTTGGAGGCTGGCGCATCTCTGGTAACTGGACTTCCTTAAACTTTAACCGAATGTTGAGACTTCTGATGAGTCAGTATGGCCATTTCCCTTTCTTCAGAGCCTACCTGGGACCTCATCCTGCCTTTCCGCACACACCAGTCATTCAGGTGAGGGATGCACTGGTGAAGACACTGTAGGACCTGACCTGCCTCCATCTCTAGCCAATCATCCTTCAGATTGGGGAGATAAGACATGTGTGTGACATAGTAAACAACCCTAGACCTTAAGGACAAATTATTGGTATGAAAGTCAGGGACATTAGCTGGGGGTGGGAGATGGAGCCACCGTGCTGGAAGGATGGAAGTAGGCCTGGTCTTTCTTACTTAATCTGGATTAATCTCAGAGCCCCTTAACTAGTTCTCCTATCTCGAGGATTGCCCTCATTTTATTTACTCTTTACTTTTACCAGAGGGAACTTTTCTGAACCAAGGGCTAACTAACTATGCTACCGTCTGTGTTTAAGTGCTTCTCAGTGACCCAGTGGCTTGCCAGGTCATGAGAATCTCCTCCCTAATCTTTAGTAAAGCTTTGCAAGCACCTTGTGATCTGACCCCTACACACTTTTCCAGCTTATCTCCTGTACATTCCTTCTCTCCCTTACCCCCCAGCCAGGCTGACTCACTGCTAGTTCCAGGAATATTCCTCAGTTCTTTACATATGCTGCTCCCTGTGCCTGCAACCATCCCCCACACTCAACCTGGAAAATTTACATGTTTTTCAAATATTGGCATTATTATCTCTTCCAGGAATTCTTCACCAACACCCTAGTTATGAGTTAGGTGAAGCCCATCTCTCCCTCCTCTCATTTCCTCATGCTCTCAGCATGTATCACTCTGTGTTGACGATTATGAGCTTCCTCAGAACAGGATCATGCTTTATTCAACTTTGTTCCTCAGGACTTAGCACAGGGCCAGGCAGCGAGAGGCTTTTGCCAGGTATTTGTTGAGTGAGTAACTAAAGAAAAACATTGACTCTATCACTATTGTGGTTAAACAATGTAATGCTATCTGTGTATTTGCACCCTACTGACAAAAGAGCTACAAAATTATCAGAGGATAAATACAAAAGAAGGCTCGGTTATCATTATGAGGTATTCTAAAATTTAGTTCTAAACAGCGTGCTCAGGAGCACACTGAACCGAGGGCTAACTGATGTGGCCTTTGGGGACTGGTTAACTGGTTAAGGAGAGGCTCAGAGAGGAGAGAATGAGAGAAGGTGAGCTAAGCCAGCCTTGAAGCATCCACACAGGAGGAGTTGAAGCTACGGGACATTGGAAATCCTGAGCTAGGGGAAGAACCTGGAATGCTGTGATTCCTCTGTGGAGTCAATGAGGGGAGGCTGGTCTTTTTAATTGAGGATTTGGGAGGAAGGGTGGGGTATAGTAGGAGGTAAAAGTGAAGCTGAAGATATAAGGTTGAGTCTGATTCTTTCTTTCTTTCTTTTTTTTTTTTTTTGAGACAGAGTTTCGCTCTTGTTACCCAGGCTGGAGTGCAATGGCGCAATCTCGGCTCACTGCAACCTCCGCCTCCTGGGTTCAGGCAATTCTCCTGCCTCAGCCTCCTGAGTAGCTGGGATTACAGGCACGCGCCACCGTGCCCAGCTAATTTTTTGTATTTTGAGTAGAGATGGCATTTCACCATATTGACCAGGATGGTCTCAATCTCTTGACCTCATGATCCACCCGCCTCGGCCTCCCAAGGTGCTGGGATTACAGGTGTGAGCCACCGCACCCGGCCTGAGTCTGATTCTTTCTAAGAAGATAGGCAGAGGTGATAAATTTGACATAATGATTTTTGAAAAAGGTACTGAGGACATCCAACTATGATGACAATTGTGCATAGAGCAAATATTTTGATAGTTGTGCATAAAGTCAGAGTTTTAAAGGTCAGTCTGGGGGTGTTGAGGAAACTAAATGAGCATTTTTGAAGCTCTGAGATAGTGGAAGAAATGGAAAGGAAGAGCCAGGCACAAGGATTTAGGATACTTCACCCTAGTGATGATAGTCCATGGTGTTCACAGAGGATTCGGTGACTGATTGGATATAAATAAATAAAGTGAGGGATTACACTATGATCCCATTGTTTTGATTTGGTGTTAACGGGAGGAAGATGGTTATCATCAATGTGAGTCTGGATAGTGTCTTGGGTTAAAAGCAGGTAGGAAGGACTACAGAAGGAGAAGAACTCCAAAGACAGAGGGCAGAAGGGAGCCAGAGAAGAGTGAGGACAGTTGGAGAAACGGGAGCTAGACCAGTATGGTGGGCCACAAAGAAAAAAAAAGGAGCTTCAGGAAGGAGGGGTCAGCTCAGAGAACAAGGAATGATACCTTTGGAAACCTAGAGATACTTTCAAAACAGTTACAGAAGTGACATAGACAGTACAGAACTTAGGAGGAAGGTAAGAAAGTGGAAACAATGCACATAGATGCCTTTTTATTCTTTGAACTTTGGACATACAGTGTAGTGAGAGTCAAGTGAAAGATTTTTTCAAGATGGAGGAAAAGAATATGGGCCAAGATAAGAGTGGGACATTGAATTTGGAAAAGAAAAGAAAGAGTAGAAGCAACGATCTTCAGAATAGAATCAAGGGCTCATCAGGGCCAGACTAAGGTGAGATATACAGGGTGCTTGCCTGGGGTGCTAATTTAAAAAGATCCACAAAACTCAGTATCATGATAAATAGTATTTTAATAAATATTCCTAAAAAATCAAAATCAATGCAACAATCTGTGATGAACCAAATATCAAATTTTTCTTCATTATGAATTTATTTTGAAAAAAAAATTATGCTTTTTCCCCCAAAATGGGACAAAATTCTATGTGAATATTTTTAAAAATACTAATGATTTTTTTTCAAAATGAATCAAAAATACACTGAGGACTTTTCTTGAACATATCATGATTCTTTTTGAAATTGACTAAAAGTACATTGCGTGTTTTTTTCTAGGAAAAAAGTCCATGATAAGAAAAGTTTTGAGATTTTATATATCACACAATTTTGGTAGTAATTTTGATTTAAAAAAATTTTAAATATTTATCTTGATTACTGAATTTTTTAAAAGAGTTTATTTGTGCAAAGAATGATTCATGAATTGGGCAGCATCCTGAAGCAGTAGAGGTTCAGAGAGCTCCATTCAACAATGTTGGCAGGCAGTATGTACAGAAAGAGGAAGTGACACCCAGAAACAGCTTGATGATTACAGCCATTGCCTTTAATGGGCATAGTCTGATCACTTGACAGCCTTTGGTTGGCTGAAGCTCAGCTGCTATGGCTGGCTGAGATGGAGCTACCTATTAGAAGAATATACTCCTAAGTTAGGTTGCAGTTTGATTACTGAGGTTTTTGGTACCTCTTGGATTTTGTACCCGGGACAGGTTCCACACCTCACTCGCCTTGGCCCTGACCCCGCCATGAGGAATGGCTCCTTTTAGGAAGCTGATTATTATGCTTCTGCCTTGCTGGGCACACCCACACTAGTTGTAACACTCACCATCTCTTCCCATTTTCACATCTGGGCTCTTCTTCTCCTGCCCCTCAACTGCTAATCCCTCCCTTTCTTTGTACTCTTGCTTCTCCTCTGTTCAATCTTTATGTCCATCTCCCAAGACCATCTCCCATGGTATATTCCCCACCTCCCCACACCTTCCCACTGCATCCCCCATGCTCCCTGCTTCTCTCCAGTCTCTCTTATGTCCAGATAGACCAGCCTGAATTTGATGTTCCCCTCAAGCAAGATCAGGAACAGAAGATCTATGCCCAGGTAAGAAGGTGCATGGACAAAGGCCCTGCCCTCTGATGCCAGGAGAAAGGCAGGGGCCTCTGGCACCCGTGACTCATGTTTCCTTCCTCCAGATCTATCGGGAATACCTGACTTACTTGAGTCAACTGGGAACCTTGCTGGGAGGAGACCCAAACAAGGTGCAACAACATGCCTCCTTGTCCATCTCCATCACTTCACAGCTGTTCCAGTTTCTGAGGCCCCTGGAGCAGCGGCAGGCACAGGGCAAGCTCTTCCAGATGGTCACTATCGACCAGCTCAAGGTGCCTGGAACTGGGAGCCAGAAGACTGTGGGCATGGGGACCTCCCTCCCAAATATTACCTCCTCTTCTCCTTCATCCTAGTGCTCTTAATTCCTTTTCATCCTGTCTCTGGCTCCATCTCCTTCCCCAGTTAGCTCCTTCCCTTCTTTTTCTCACACCCAAAGGGAAGCCCTTTCCCCTTCCTTCTCTTCTCTTTTCCTTACCCCCCTCAGCTTTGTGTCCCTCCTCTAAGGAAATGGCTCCTGCCATCGACTGGTTGTCCTGCTTGCAAGCGACATTCACACCGATGTCCCTGAGCCCCTCTCAGTTACTCATGGTCCATGACCTGGAGTATTTGAAAAACATGTCACAACTGGTGGAGGATCTGCTGCTAAAGGACAGGTTCGCCCAGGTGGGATTGGGGAGATCATGGAAAGGGAGGAGAGCCTGAGCACCGTAGGTCTCAGGGGCAAAGGAGACCTTGGGGAGGCAGGGTGGTAAGGGACTCCTGAGAAGATAAGAGGAACTTGCTACCTGTGGCTGCAGAGAAGCATGGGGTGGGTGGCACAGAGAGGATGGAGGGATCAAGAAGGATGTGTCTTGGGGAGCATGGGTAAGGGAGGACACACACAACATGATGAATGTAGGGTCAGCCAAGACACAAGGGTATACTTAGAGTGGAACACCAGCCAGTAAAGAGCCTCTGAGCTGTGGAAGATACTGGAAGACCCAGACACAGAGGACAGTTGAGTGCATGTAGGTCTTTTTAGCAGCTAAGGACTGTGGGCAGGAGGAGGAGGCACATAAGATGAGGAGATGAAGGTGGTGAAGGCTGGGGATGCTTAGGGGAAGAAAGCAAGAGGAAGGGCCATTCTTCAGGTGTGGTGTGAGGATTCTGGAGCTCTTAGGGAAACAGTGTCTAAGAGCATTTCTGCTGGTATCAGGAAATCAAGGAGGGGTTGGGTTTGGGGACATGAGACTGTGGCTTTTAATGGGCTCTCTGCATCCCCTGATCCCTGGGTGGCTACCACCTGAAAGTAGTGGCTTTCTTCCAAGGGTTTGGACCCAAGGCCCTTCTTCATGATGGCATCAGCATCTAGAAATCCCTTTTGAGGGAGGTAACTGCCCATTCGCATGAGAGTGAGCAGATTCACATGAGGGTGCAATGCAGCCCAGGTAGGAGCATTGCTGGTAGAGCAGAGGGGAGTCAGAGAGCCCAACTTACTTATGCTGATGAGATATGTCTGAGGATAACCTGAGATTTCCTGACTGTGGAAGTAAAATCTGTTTCATGAGGTGAATCCAGACTTCATCTAGTCCAGAACTTCCTTTCCCTGTGATTTTGAAGGCTGCCTCTTCATCTAGTTCCTTTTACTAAGGAGCAAGATCCCACTTCAACCCACAACACAAAAAGCTCTTTTTGGCTTGGGTGCATGTTAAAACAGTTACTAATACAGAGGAGAAGGGGCTGCCTTCAGGAGTGTCAAGGTGACTTACACAAGGGAGGCTTTCATGAGGCATCTTTAGATTTGTGGGGTATATGTGTGGGTCTCTTTTGTCTCCATAGGGACTTTCTGCAGAGCCACATGATCTTAGGGTTGGTGGGGACCCTTTCTCCAGCCCTGGACAGTCAATTCCAGGAGGCACGCAGGAAGCTCAGCCAGAAACTGCGGGAACTGACAGAGCAACCACCCATGGTGAGGAGAGGAGGGAGTGTATTTGCCCAGATACTCTAAAGGAGCATCTACTCTTTTGAGGATTAAATGTTGGCATCTCCTTCTCGGGGAGGGAGGGGGCATGATGGTACATGCCCCCACATGTCTTCACTTTCCATAGAAGCAGGCAAGTTGGACAGACAAAGTTCAACTTGCAAACCAAGATACTACATGCCAGACCTTCAGGCACACATCTCCCAGGCTGACCTCTCCCAGCAAGAACCTCTCTGGCTTCTTGCTGGGTGTTTGAGCTCAAATATAAAACTCTGAAATTATCAAGAACTGCCCTTTCTTTGTCATAACCCTTACACTATTTGCTCAGGATAACTTGGACATAGAACTTAACGTTGTATTGGAATGAGAGAGAAATATGTTAAGCAGTGGCCTGTCTTTTGTCTAGTTGATTTCATGTTCAAATGTGCTTCACGAGTTTATCTCTGACATCCAGTGCGATCTATTGGGCCACATGGAGGCTTCATGGCACAGATGTGGATATATCTGAGGAGGGGCCTGGGTAGAAAATGCATTTCACTAACCAGAGTCTACTTAATTTTTTTTTTTTTTTTTTTGAGACGGAGTTTCACTCTTGTTACCCAGGCTGGAATGCAATGGCGCAATCTCAGCTCACCGCGACCTCCACCTCCTGGGTTCAGGCAATTCTCCTGCCTCAGCCTCCTGAGTAGCTGGGATTACAGGCACATGCCACCATGCCCAGCTAATTTTTCATATTTTTACTAGAGACGGAGTTTCACCATGTTGACCAGGATGGTCTCGATCTCTTGACCTCGTGATCCACCCGCCTCGGCCTCCCCAAGTGCTGGGATTACAGGCTTGAGCCACCGCACTTGGCCTCAGAGTCTACTTATTACGTAAGATGCAGAGATGCTCCTTTGCGAAGAATCTTGAAATCCCAAGTTGGATATATCCAAATGCAAGCAGAAGAGTCTAGTATATTGGATATGTCCCACCCTCAGTAAAGGCCTTAGTTTAGTCTTAAAAATCACTGGATTTTTTTTTTTCTTAGAATGATGATGTTTTTTTCTTAGTAATGTTTTCTTAGTAATCCCGTACGTGGGTGCCCTTAGTCCCCGCGGTGACGAGGGATTGAGAAAAGGAAATAAAGACAGAGACACAAGAGTAGAAGTTACAGTATGGGTCCAGGGGACCAACGCAAGTGTGAGAACAGTGTTGGCCCCGAGCTCTGGGCTCCAGACACTTTTATTATGTGCATAATTTCATTGATCTTATGGGCATGGAAGGAGAGGATGAAGAAGAGCTGGGCGGAGATCACTTGAGATCCTTCTAAGACATGCTAAACTAGAACTCAGAGTTTATCTCCGATTGTTATCAGGGTGCAGCTGCATCAGAAATGTAGCTGATGAGGAGCCACTTGGTCTGACCACACCCAATGCATGAAGGGGCTTTTATCTCCAAGGCATTGAGGACATAGAGCAATTAAAATCACTTCGTATTCCGAGAACCTAGGCAGAACCTGAGGTGTTCTGTGATCTCTGCCCTGCAAAGCTTTTCTCCTCCTTGCCAGCTCCCATCTGCAAAGACCCCTCTGGATCTTGTGAGCAGAGGTCGCCTCCCTTCTCAGAGATCTTTGCGTAAGCCCTCTTTACTGGGCCCTCATGCAGTCTCCATGTTGAGAAGGCATTTGTGGGACAGAGCAGTATTGCCTGCTCTGCAGCCACCCCGAGGTGTTTCCCGGTGTTACTGTGCTCTCGGGTGGTCTTTACCTTAGACCTCCTGTTGGCGCTTGATTTCTAATTAACTGCACCAATAATATAGTTTAGTTCAGTGTATAAACTTCAGTGTACTCTGAGCCAAACAAGCTTATAACTATTTAGCTAGAATTAACATAGGTCTCTCCCCTGGCCATCTTGACCCACATTTGGGGACCATTTCTCTGCCTTGGAGAAACTCTCTGCTTTGCCAACCTAAAATTGCTGTGGAATTCAGAGAAGGAAAAGGTATTCACAGGGACTGGAATGTAGTTACTGCTTATCAAGAGCTTAGAATGTGCTAGACATTTTTGCAATCCTTTAGATCTATCAGCTGATTTAATCTTTACAATTCCATGAGGTACCATTTTGTTCCTATTTTAAAGACAAGGAAACAGAGGCACTAAGGTTAAGGAAATTGCTCAGGTATAATAGTAAGTTAACAGAGTGAGGATTTGAACCCTGGCAGTCTGGCTCCAGGGTCTGTGTTGTTTACTCATTGTGCTAAAAATGCAGTCCTCCTGAGGAGCGTCACTTGGGTTGTAGAGTCCCCAAGAAGCTTCTGCCCAGCTTTTCTCTTGATTCAGGTGAAGCAGACCAGAGCCCCAAGTTATCTTGGTTGGGGTTGCTACAAATTCCCTGGCAACAAACAGCTACCTATAAATGTCAGCACTGTGGCGTCATGGCACTTCTTGGAGTCTGTAAAGTGCTCCTGTTGAGGCTCAGGCTTAAAGAATGCAGAAGGCTGGCTAGGCATGGTGGTTCACTCCTGTAATCCCAGTACTTTGGGAGGCCAAGGCGGGTGGATCATGAGGTCAGGAGTTCAAGACCAGCCCGCCCAACATGACAAAATCCCATCTCCACTAAAAATACAAAAAATTAGCCAGGCATGGTGGCAGGCGCCTGTAATCTTAGCTACTCAGGAGGCAGAGGCAGGAGAATCACTTTAACTTGGGAGGTGGAGGTTGCAGTGAGCCGAGATTATGCCACTACACTCCAGCCTGGGTGACAAGAGTGAAACTCCATCTCAAAAAAAAAAAAAAAAAAAGAATGCAGAAGGCTTAGATGTCCTGAAGCCATTGTTTTTTCCACTGGGGCACATAATTGTCCTTAGGCTTAAAAGCTGAATTAACCTGTGCCAACAAATAGTTGTGTAACCTTGGGGAAGCCACTTCCCCTTTCTGGAACAATAGTATAAAATATGACACTTAATAAAGATAATAGCTGATATACATGGGGTAGTCACTGTCTGTCAGCACTTAGCGCAGGTTCTGTGATCTCTGCCCTGCGAAGCTTTTCTCCTCCTTGCCAGCTCCCATCTGCAGAGACCCGTCCGGATCTTGTAAGCAGAGTTCGCCTCCCTTCTCAGAGATCTTTGCATAAACCCTCTTTACTGGGCCCTCATGCAGTCTCCATGTTGAGAAGACATTTGTGGGACAGAGCAGGATTGCCTGCTCTGCAGCCACCCCGAGGTGTTCCCCGGTGTTACTGTGCTTTCCGGTGGTCTTTACCTTAGGCCTCCTGTTGGCGCTTATTTCATTTAAACCTTCCAAAAACACTTCCCGGTTTTTAATCCCCATTTTGTGGCTGCAGAAATGGGCTCGGAAAGGTCAGAAACTTTCCCAAGACCACACAGCGCACAAGTAAATGAACAGACTCCAAAACAGATGTTTTGGCTCATAAAGTCATGTTTTTAACCACACAGTGTACAGGATTGAGAAATAAGTAGGTGCCACAAATAAAGGTTAGAAAACTTTTTTATAAAGGGCAAAATAGTAAATATTGACTTAGTGATTCATAAATGGCTGATGTTACAACTAAACTCTGTTCCTGTAGTGCAAAAACAGCTGTAACTGAAGTAAATGGATGCGTATGGCTGTGTTCCCAGGGGATCCTGGTTTAGACAGCAGATATTCTTGGAGTTCCCAAGAGGAAGAGATCAGGGAGCATTTGAAGGATCAGTAGCATCTCTGTGCAGTAGGCAGAACTGGCAAAATGTCTAGAGAGAGGAAGTTTTCTGGCAAAGAAAGAGGCATCATCTCATGAGGACAGGGCAGGAGGGAGGCAGGGTAAAACTTGGTGCAGGGTGAGGGATCCTCCTGGTGGCTCTGGCTGGGAGGAGAAGACTAGGCTTGCAAGGCAGGCTGTGTCCATTGATGCCCCTGGAGCATGCTCCGGGTGTTTGAGAATCAGCAAGGAAGTGAGGGCACGTAGAGCAGAGTGACTCTGACAGTAGCGGGGAGGGAATCAGAGCGGGAAGGAGAGAACCATACAGCTACCTATAAATGTCAGCACCATGGCTTCATGGCACTTCCTGGAGGCTGTAGAGTGCTCATGTTGAGGCTCAGGCTTAAAGAATGCAGAAGGCTGGCCGGGAGCGGTGATTCACTCCTGTAATCCCAGGAGTCAGGTGGGTCACTGTAAGGACCTTTGCTTCTGTCTATGTGAAATAGGGACATGCAAGGTTGGGCGCGGTGGCTCACGCCTGTAATCCCAGCACTTTGGGAGTCCAAGGTGGGCGGATCACGAGGTCAGGAGTTCAAGACCAGTCTGACCAACCTGGCAAAACCCCGTCTCTACTAAAAATACAAAACTTAGCTGGGTGTGGTGGAGCGTGCCTGTAATCTCAGCTATTCGGGAAGCTGAGGCAGGAGAATCGTTTGAACCCAGGAGGTGGAGGTTGCAGTAAGCTGAGATCCCACCATTGCTCTCCAGCCTGGGCAACAGGGCAAGACTCCATCTAAATAAATAAATAGGGGCATGCAGAGGGATTTATCTCATTTATGTTTTAAAAGAACATATTTTAAGGTTAGCAATGGGATAGCCTGATGATGAGTGATGTTTAAGAGGAAGAATGGAATCAAAGACATCACCTAGAGGTTGGCCTCGATATGGTCAAAATGTTTGGTTCTATTCAGTGGCTATTAATTACCAACTTCTGATCATATTCTTCTGAATGAATTATAATTTATAGCACCCTTATACAGAAAGATTTCTAAATCTCATTATTGGACCATCTTTGGATGATTAATTTTGAATAGAGTTACAGTCAATGAAAATGGCTAAGTCAGGTTTTCTTTTATGAAACTTGGGAAGATGGGTTTTGAGAAGTAACAGCAGAAGTTAACATTTGTGGTGATTAAATGTGAATGATTTCTATTCAGACCAGCATCTCAAGTTGTTCAGGTCTTCCCACTTTGGATCATTTGCAGTTTTATTCAGTGTATTTTCATCCAGACCACTGTGAAGATCCTGAAGGGAGAAGGACATCGGGTCAGGTTTTTGAAGACCTAGCAACAGATTTATGCATTCATTTATGTAACAAACATTTATTGAGCACCTACTGTATTCCGGGTGCTTCTCTAGGCACTTGGAATGCAGCAGCGAACAAAACAGACAGATAAATAACCCTGCCTTCAGCCACATATCCTGGTGAAGGAAGAAAGACAATAAACTAATAAAATATGTTAGGTGGTGTTATGAAGGAAAGCAAAACAGGAAATGAGGAAAAGAAATGCTAAGCAAGGATTAATTAGAATTCTTAGTAGGAATGTCAGGGGAGGTCAAGTTAGCTTGAAATCATTCACCATTGATGTTTACTTGTGTTGCAGCCAGATGAGACTCCACCCAAATTGCACTATCATTCATCATCAATTTCTCTATCTAATTCACTAGGACGCAATCTGTGTGTTTTCCACGCCTGGCTAAGCCAAGATAATGCCAACAGAGTGGGGTAGTGCCTTAGAGTACTTAGGGTATTATTTCCCCTGATCCCAAACATTTGAAGAAGGTAGGCTAGGTATTGTTTTCATTTTGACAGCTGGTGTAATGGAAGCACAGGGGTTTAAGTTAATAACTCAAACTTACTAAGTACTAATACTCTATTCAGTGGTAGGAAAGTAGTGGTGCTTGAGGATGAATTTTGTCTATAGATGTGTTTTGTTAGCCTGTAAACTTTGAATTAATCTCCAACATCCAAAAATTAAGATATGGCTTGCCCAGTATTCAGGTTTCCAGCCTGTGTTTTGTGTGTGTGTGTGTGTGTGTGTGTGTGTGTGTGCGCGCACGCGCATCTGTGTGTCTGTGAAGCTTGGGAAGCACTGGGCTAGCCTTCTCCTGGTGACAACTGACTGTCACTACATGGCACAGCTCGATTCGGGCTGGGTGTGCTCTCCAGGAGGCTGTAGCCCCACCGTGCCACGTGGCTCTGATGTTGCATTGCAATTCTCTGTTATGCTTCTGCATGGCCCCTATTGGATGGAGTCTGTGGCTTCTGGTCTATCATATACCTTTAACCAAAGGAATTTTTATTATTTTGGCATTATTTTTCTTCATTGATACTATCCTAGCTCTTAGCCTTGACACATTATTTTCCAAGTGTTCAAAAACTGTTTAATGATTCGTTCTGCAATTGTGTTTAGAAATTAACATTAAAGATTCCTGGTTGGCCTGTAATCCCCAAAATTTCCTTTCATCCTATAGAAGTTGGGTCAATTTTTTGCTTCCCTCCAGACTCTTAGAGTTTGTCCTGGTTTCTATCATTTCTCAAATGCTATTTGTGGTTCTGAGGTTACATATGCAACTTTCTTTGGTGCCCTAAAATTAGTCCACTGAGTTTCATTAACTTGGGTTTGAAGTATTTCTTCTATTGTTTATATTTTGGAGACTTTTTTTTCTATTTCTCTCCCACTACCTCTCTAGCTCTCCCTTTGCAGCCACTGTGGTACACACTGCCATGCCACATCTCGAGAGACAGCTGTAGTGGTCTGAGGTGGCATTTGCATTCTCTGGTAGTTGGGTCCCATGGCAAAGCATGTGGGAGAAATGATCAGGCTCCAGCAAAGGGCTTCAGGAAACAAATCAAGAACCAGGAGGGGTGAAAAGGGTAGGCCGGTCCACACTTCCAAGCTCAAGTGGGCTCCTTGCTGAAGCTGGTTGCTCCTCCAGGTGTAACAACTGTCTGAGAAGAGGTATTCCTGGGCCAAGGTTGTTCAGCAGAATGTGGCCAGCAGACTCTCAACTTGGCCCCATCATTGCTTTCAGATCCAGATTTCCTTTCAGTTCCTGTTTGTTCCTCACATTTGTGTTTCAGAGCTCCAACTAACACAGCATGAGAAGAATCTGAGCCTCTTCTCTTTATAAGAAACAAGGTTGGTCAAGTACAGTGGCTCACGCCTGTAATTCTAGCCCTTTAGGAGGCCAAGGCGGGTGTATCGCTTGAGCCCAGGAATTTGAGACCAGCCTGGCCAACATGGCAAAACTCCATCTCGGGTTGATACACGCTTGTAATCCTGGCTACTTGGGAGACTGAAGCAGGAGACTCACTTGAACCAGGAGGTGGAGGTTGCAGTGAGCTGAGATCACACCAGTGTACTCCAGCCTGGGTCACAGAGCAAGACTCTGTTACCAAAAAAAAAAAAAAAAAAAGACAAAGTTAGCAGACCTCAAGGTGCAATCGAACACAAATGTGGGCAGCCAGGCCTGCAGCCACCTCCAAAATGATACCCTCTTCAACTGGTGGGTTTAGGAGTTTCTTCTTCAGTGACTAACCAGACTGACCTCCTTGTTCTATTTCCTCTAGTGGGATGTCAGTAAACTCCCTCCATTCCCAGGACCAGCCGAGCTCCTGCTGATCCTGCAGAGAGAATAGTAGCGGCAGCTTCCTACCTTCCCTGTGAGCAGGTCTTTAGGAAGTAAACAAATCACAGGAATAAAGTTTTGAGGCTTCATCCTGCCTAACCCAAATTAGCATGTTAGCAGTTTTTTTTTATCAGTTCCAGCTTAGCTTTCCCTTAGGCCAGCTACCTCCTCCTGTCCCTGGGGTCCTTGAGTGTGCCTCTCACATCTCACAGTGTGCCTCTGTGTCATCTCTGGGTTTACTCCTTTGTCAAGTCTTAAAAGCCATTCAAGCCCACAGCCAAGACCTTCTCAGCATCGGTCTCTCGTATTTCTCATTCTTGACGTCCTCAGCTGGCACTGCCCGCTTGGCTGTTTGTCCATGGCCTCCTGCCTCTGCAGCAAAAGCCCTCCACCTTCCCATTCTATTCTCTCCTCTGACTTGGCTGGAAGTCTTCTAGCTCTCTGAATTTATGCATTTAGTCTTGTCTTGTGTCCTCTTCTCCTAGCTAACAATATGGCATCTAAAATCCTAAAACCTGGTTCTACTCTGACAATTTTCTTCTTTATAAGAGGCTACACTATGACACACAGTGCCCACCTGGAGAGAGGGTAAGAGTGATGGTGGAAGGACAGAATTTCCATCTCCAATCTCCATTTTGAGCAAAGAAGCATGGAGGATGGGAGTCATTGATGGGACCCCGGAGTAGAGTGTTCGGGGGTTAACAGGGGGAACATAAGACTGCCGAAGCATGAGGTTTGGGTTCTCATCTTCTTTCCAGGAGCCTTTTGGTCCCCAAGAATGATGCCTCCTAGAGGCCTTGGTGTCGAATTCAATAGGCAATAACATGAAGGATTTGCTTAACCAAGCTCATGAGATCAGCTCTGAAGGAAGATGTGCTTTTGTACTGAGCAGTGATGTGTGTCACCCTAAGGGATAGTAACATGAGATTAAACCCAGAAGAGCTGTTGAAAGAGCACCCTATGGGAATGAAGATCTAGCGAAGACTGGGGAGACAAATGGGGAAGAGCTCTGAACGGGAGCCACTCATTCTAGCTTTGTCTCCATAGCCTGCCCGCCCGCGGTGGATGAAGTGCGTGGAGGAGACCGGCACCTTCTTCCAGCCCACGCTGGCAGCTTTGTTTGTTCGTGAAGCCTTTGGCCCAAGCACCCGAAGTGCTGTATGTGAGAGCTCTTCCCAGCCCACATCCCTCCACCCCTTCCCACCCAACCCAGCCTGCCCTCATTCTATGAACTTTGCCTTTCTCCGTGGTTTGTGTGGTTGGGGAATCGGGCAGTCAAAGAGAGAGAAGGGACACTGAGAGAGGGAACCCAAAGACCCGCTCCATCCTGGGGTGGAAACAGTTCAGCTTCTGGACACGAAGTCTCGAGAGCATGCTGTCACTTGGACAAGTCACCCAGCATTTCCAGTTTTGCGTTTCTTCAACCATCAGATAAGAAAATCAAACACTATGATCTCTAAGCCTCCTCCCTGTGATATCTAAGATTCTTTTAACAACACATGACATGACATCAGAACGGGATGACATAATCTCGAAGAGGGCAAATAAATCACCACTGAATACTTACTGAGTACCTACTACATGCCTGAGACTCCCTCAAGCACTTTGCATGAGCTACTTTATTTAGTTCCTATTATCCTGATTTTGTAGAAGAAAGAACTGATGCAAAGACAGGTTAAGTGACTTGCCCAAGGTCACACACAGTTACCAAAAAGCAGAGACAGGATTTGAACTCAGGCCTTCCAATGCCAGAGCCCAAGCTCTTGATAATGCCTTTCATTTTCCTCCAAGGAAGGATTTCCATGAGGTGGTAAGTGGCTGGGGAAGCAGTGACTGCACACTCAGGTTGTGAAGCCAGGGAGACTTGCTGGGAAGCTGAAGAGCTCAGGAGGATGGGGAGAGGGAGTGGATGTTTTAGAAAAGAAAGTGTGAGGATGAGAGCCCTGAGCCAGAGAAGAAAATGACAGCCCTCTCCTTCCTCTGCTTTCTGAGAGGTGTTCCTGCCCCCAAGAGTAAGAACACCGTCTTTCTCCCACATCAGGCTATTTCCACAAGGAAAGAAGCTATCTCCCTGATGGCCCTTATGGATGGCCAGGCCCCACCTTCCCTTTGTGGGCTTGGCACTGCCGTCCTCTCTCCACAGATTCTCTGCCCACTGGAGGTTTCTGGCCATCTAGGAATGATCCTTTCCACATCTCTTTCTGAGCTCTTGCCTCTTCTCTAGCTGCAGCTTCAGCAAAGGCAGCTCCTTGAAGCCAAAGCCTTTTCCAAGGGTCAGAAGCTGTGGGCAGGGCCAGGCTGAGGCCTCTCCTGATCCTGTCCCCTTATCCCTGGACCTCACTCCCACAGGCCATGGAATTATTCACTGTGATCCGGGATACCCTGATCACGCACCTCAGAAAGCTTCCCTGGATGAATAAGGAGACTCAGAACATGGCCCAGGACAAGGTCAGGCCAGGCGTCCTGGCTGGTGTGGGAGCCTGTGAGGGGAATGGAGTATTGGACCAAGCCAGTCGGGGGCTGGAAGCAAGAGCCAAAGACCTCCCTGGGCACACGCTAAGTAGGGAAGCCACTGTGCTGCATGCACATCCTGGCAACAATGTGAGAGGCTGGGACAGGGCAACGAGCGGGAGAAATTCCCTCTGGTAGACTCAGAGCAGCTGGATTCCTATCCCCTCCTGTGTCTCTCTCCAGGTCGCTCAACTACGGGTGGAGATGGGGGCTTCGGAATGGACCCTGAAGCCAGAGCTGGCCCAGCAAGAATACAGTGATGTGGGTCCCTGTGCTGTCCAGCTCCTTCTCAGTCCTTGACTTCTCACTTCTCTGATCCTCCTGAGTCTTTGTCGGACAATCAGATTTCCCTGGGTGACTCAGCCCTGTCCTTGCCCTAGTGCTGGCTGGGGTTCATGGGGGAATATCCACATCATAGGTCTTGCTGGCAGAAGAGCAGAATCTTTCCAGGTCCCAATGGGTGTGCTCACAGGCATGCATACATCCTGTGACTGGCCTGGGTCACATACATACTGATACACAGACATATCAGTCTGTGTGCTGATATGTGTAAAGCCTGTGTGCTATGTGGGCATGCCATTGGGCTGCGGTCCCCTGATCTCTGGATGCCTGTGTATCAGGGTTGTCTGTTTAGGGTCAAATGGACCCATTGGTGTATGTCAGCGCACATCTGTGTAAGTCTCTGTGTGCCCAAGTCACCTCCAGCCTCTTCCCCAGATACAACTTGGACCCAGCTTCCTGCAGTCTGTCCTGAGCTGTGTCCGGTCCCTCCGAGCTAGGATTGTCCAGAGCTTCTTGCGGCCTTTCCCTCCACATAGGTATGAGAGCAGGGAAGACACTGGCACTCCATCCCAGAGAGACCCAGCCATGATTACCAGGAAAGGAAGGCAGGGCTCAGGGCAGGCAGCACGAGCAGTAATGGTAGTTGGGACTGTGTATGCCTCGGGGTGGCAGGGCAATGCATGGTGGGGGCTGGAGTTTATGTGTGCTCTTCCTGCAGGTGGCAGGTGTCCCCCTGGGAGGTCAATGCTTACTATTCGATATCTGACCATGTGGTAGTTTTTCCAGCTGGACTCCTCCAACCCCCGTTCTTCCACCCTGATTACCCCAGGTATGGGTCACTCTGTGAGGGTAGGCAGGGAGTTTTCCAGCAGGGGCTGACAGCTGTCGGGATGGATGGGAGTTATGGTTGGATAATTGGGGTCAAAAATGCTGAAAGATTCTGGGGATCAAACAAGCCCTTATTTCCCTAGAGCCGTGAACTTCGGCGCTGCTGGCAGCATCATGGCCCATGAGCTGTTGCACATCTTCTACGAGCTCTGTCAGTAACAGGGGCCACTGGGAGGTGGGATTCTAGGGAACTCAAGAGAAGGCCACAGGGGAGGCCTGCAGGGAAAGGAAGGTTATTTGAGGGTTTGAGGTGGGGCAGTCTTGGAAACTTTGCCATACTCCTGGGAGCTGGGTCAGTCTGTGGTAACCCCCACAGCCTCAACTCTGCGGTACCAACGGACCCTCAATCGTGTGTTCTCTTGTCCCATTTTCAACAGTGCTGCCTGGAGGCTGCCTGGACTGTGACACTCATGCCCTCCAGGAAGCTCTCCTGTGCCTAGAGCGCCATTATGCTGCCTTTCCATTACCCAATGGAACCTCTTTCAATAACTCCCTCACCTTCTTGGAGAACGCTGCAGATGCTGGGGGGCTAGCCATTGCACTGCAGGTATGCCATTGTCAGAGGCTACTACGTATGTGTACTGGCAGACTAGAAAACATGTCTTTGAGTTTTCCTTCCACCATTCCTTATGCGAGTCCAGTCACATGGCTTTCTGCCCTTCACATCCCCCTGAACAGATGGTAACTTGGTGATCAGCCCCCAATTCCAGCCATTCTCCGTTTTTAGGACATCTATAGGTCTTCTGGGAAGTACCCTTCCTTCTGGCTCAGATCAACTTGTCAGGGCAGAACCAGTCAGCCAGGGCCGTGGGTTTCGACTACTGTGTGGAGGGACTTTCAAATGGCCACAGGTCTAGAGCCTGAGGGCCCCTCTCCACCCCACCCCTACCCAGGCATACAACAAGAGGCTGTTATGGCACCATGGGGAGACCGTCCTGCCCAACCTGGACCTCACCCCCCAGCAGATCTTCTTCCGAAGCTATGCCCAGGTAGGTGGTGGCCACCTCCCGCCACAACTTGCTTTACCTCAGATGAACACCTTATTCCTGAAGCTCATGGAACTCCCTCCTCAGACACCCCTCCCCCAAGTACCCCAGACCCTCTGCCGCAGACATCCTCACTGTCATCCTTTCTCATCCCTCCCTACTCCTTGGAATCACTACCCAGATGACTACAGGTTCTTCTACCAAATTCCGCACCCCCACAACTCAAAATGTAGAAAAAACTCTATTCCCAGGTTCCTCCAGGAGAGGAGACCAACTTTTTCTTCTCTCATGCTCCCAAAATACAGATGCCTTAAAAATTAGCCCATGACCAGGCACAGTGGCTCACACCTGTCATCCCGGCACTTCGGGAGGCCAAGGCGGGTGGATCACTTGAGGTCAGGAGTTCAAAAGCAGCCTGGTCAGCATGGTGAAACCCCCATCTCTACTAAAAATACAAAAATCAGCCGGGTATGGTGGCGCACACCTGTAATCCCAGCCACTCGGGAGGCTGAGGCAGGAGAATCACTTGAACCTGGGAAGTGAAGGTTGTAGTGAGCTAAGCTCATGCCACTGCACTTTAGGCTGGGTGACGGAGCGAGCGAGACTCCGTCTCAAGAAAACAAAGAGCCGGCGACAAGCTGACTGTGTGCCACATTCCTCTTCAGATGCCTCATCTTAAGTGTGGCGCCCACTTGATATCACATCCTTAAGCACCCTGTGCCCCCTCAACAGACTCAGGCACGAGGTTTTCAACATGCTTATATTAGATGTCCCCCCAGAGCTCCTGCACTAGACCCTGCCTCCCGGTCACTGGTAAATGGTATCATTACACAGCCCAGACCCTCCTGGGCTCCTATGATGAGATTAAATGGCCTATACATTTCAGATGCTTCATGTGGCCCTTGGATCACTTGATCCCCTGTTCCCCTCTTTGTCTGCTGTCCCTGGTCACCCCTTGTCACCAAGTCAGCTTTGTCCTATGGACCCTCCTCCTTCAATGACCTCTCTTCCTGCTCAGGTGATGTGTAGGGAGCCCAGCCCCAAGGACTCTCACGACACTCACAGCCCTCCGCAGCTCCGAGTCCATGGGCCCCTGAGCAGCACCCCTGCCTTTGCTAGACATTTCCGCTGTCCACCTGGTGCCCTCTTGAACCCCTCCAGCCACTGCCAGCTCTGGTAATCCAGCTACCAAAGATGCCACAGCACAGAAATATTGACCAACACCACCCTGGTCACATCCACGGAATCAGCAAGATCTCCTTTCCGCTTCTGTTCCAAAAATAAAAGCTGGCACTTGGCTTCTGCTTGCCTCTTAATGACTTGTTCCTGCTATGTTCTCTGCCTAGAAGTCAGAAACCATGCGGGAGAAAAATACTCCGAAGTCAGAACAGAGAAGAGGGAGAAATGTCAAAAATATCTCATGGACACAAGAAAAGGAAAGAATCAACAATTGGTGACCTGGTGCGTTTCCGCCCAGTGGACCAAAGGCTGGACAATAAAGCAGTCTAGTTAGAGACAAGAAGGGCTGGGATTAAGTATCGGAAAGCGGCTCCCAATTTTCTCAGGATTTTATTGCTATTTGATTGTCATTGCCTCCTCCCTCTAATCTGCTGTCCTGAACAAAAGCAGGGAGCTGTGGGAGAGGAGGACATGGGTCTGCTATCTCTGGTCCCAGGAGATGAAACTCTGAACCCGGAGAGGCAGTCAGTTGGCACTGCCGGCAACTGGTATCTCTGCTGCTGAACCCTGAGGTACAGTGATGGTGGTGAGAGGCAGAGAGCCATGGCCTGCATCTCCTCTGGGAGTTGTGAGCTGGAGCCTATGGGGGGAGAGGATCAGTGAGTGAGCGTGAAGCAGAGGTAGATATCCAGGAAACAGGCTATCTCATTGGCAGCCTCAGTGGCCCTCCCAAGAAAACCATGACGCTGGCCAGACTAAAGCAGAAGTTGAGGTGAAAAGAGTGATGGTGAACAGCTGCCGTCTTGGACGTCTCGTCATCTTCTTGCTGGGCCATGTCCACTGCCTGCCACATCTCTCCCACTGAGGAGGCCACAAAGTACTCTTCGAACTGTTCTTGATTCTGCTCTGGAAAAAGGGAAAAGGACGAGCACTGAGCCCTGACCCTGGCCTGAACCAGAGAGGAGAAGTTAGAATAGGAAAGCCTAGGGCTGCAGGCCCAATTTCCCATATCCTTGACCTTGACCAGACAGTGGATGCTGTTTCTAGAGCATCTGATCTGTGTTCAACCACAGCCACAGCTCAAACACACACACACACACACACACACACACACACACACACTTTTCCTAAGGCTAGCTCCCTCCTCTAGGGTTTCAATACTGGGGGAATCAGGAATCACCTGGAAGCATGACAAAAGCCAGCCAAATGCACCATGCTTACACACACAGAAGTTGCGTGCGAGTTCAGCTGGCCCATGGTGTGCCCTAACAATATTATTTCACACAGTAAGGATCAAGGCTGGAGTTTTCTCCCATAACCCAGACCCAGGTCAGGTCTCACCCTAGCCTCATCAATGACCTAGGCCTGGCCTCACACAGACCTGACCCTGAGCCTCCAGACTCTCCCATCTTTTTTTTCTACCTACCTGCAAAGGTTGTTTTCTCTGTCTGGCTCCTGGCTTTGGGGACTGGGCTCCCCTTCAGAGGCTTCACCTGCAGCAGCAGCAAGATGGCAACCAGGAATGCTGCCCTGCAGAGCTGGGGGACCAGGGAAGGCATGGAACTGCCAACCCACTGCCTTTGGCTGCCCCCTGCTCCCAGTGCCCAGCAGCCTCCCCACACCTCCTGCCCCATTCCTGTCCTGGCCCTGACCCCTTCCCTTCCATGGGACCCCTGCACATGTTCTGTGACATCACAACCATGGACCCAACCTTCATTCAGGCTCACTAGAGCATTCCATTGCCAGGCAAGAGAATGGAGCACAGACAGCAAGGATGGCAGAGTCCTCCAAGATGACTGCAGTGGGTCATCCTGTATTTAGCAACAGAAATGACCTAAGAGTTTGGAATGTACATTCACATTCATTAGATCCACGTAGCAACGAGGACTGCACAATCATAGTGTTGTCATATCTATTACATGCATGAGGAAATTAAGGCTCACTGAAAAAATGACTCACCCAAAATCACCCAAATATTAAGGGGCAGAAAAGGACTCTTGGTTAACTTTTACTTTAAAATATGATATTTTCCCACTATTCCACGTGGTCTTTCTATCAGAAGAGTAGTTTGCATAGGATGAGGGTCAGAACAGATGCACCAGCCAGGATTCTCAAGTCATGGGCGTGAACATGCTGCTCTACATGAAGCATGGGTCTGCCAGAAAATAAACATGGGGAGGAGCACAGGGTGAGGGTGGGCAAGGGCACAGGCTCTGTGAGACACAGAGGCAGAGACAGAGATAGGCAGAGACAGACAGAGAAAAAGAGAAAGAGACAAAGACAGAAACCGAAGGGTAGAGAGAGAGAGAGAGAGATAGACACTGAGATAGATGAAGAGAGTGGAGAGAGAGAAAGAGCAGGGTGCCTGCACCCAGCAGAACCCATTCACACCCTCTCTTCATCCTCCCCTGGTTTCCCCCCTTTTCTAACCTTTGCCCTCTTGTACCACCAGGCTGAAACGCCCTCTTCTCTCATTTTACACCTTTCTGTACTCTTTTTTTTTTTTTTTTTTGAGACAGAGTCTCACTTTATAGCCCAGGCTGGAGTGGTTTGGCACAATCTTGGCTCACTGCAACCTCTGACTCCCAGGTTCAAGCAATTCTCCTGCCTCAGCCTTCCAAATAACTGGGATTATAGGTGTGTGCCACCACACTGGGCTAATTTTGTATTTTTAGTAGAGACAGGGTTTCTCCATGTTGGTCAGGCTGGTCTCAAACTCCCAACCTCAGGTGATCCACCCACCTCGGCCTCCCAAAGTGCTGGGATTACAGGCATGAGCCACTGTGTCTAGCTCCTTTCTGCACCCTTGGACAGAAATAAAAGGTTGTTAGCCGCTCATCTCCTATCTCATTGCTTGTCGGAAGGAGTTAGAGTCTGCAGAGAAGCCACAGTGTGGCAGGGAATCTAGAATCCCAAATAACAGATGTGGAAGAATCCTGCCTCAGGACCTGGATGCGCCTCCTGCCCACAAGGCTGGCGAGCACAGGTCTGTTGGCAGCAACTGGCTGTGGGTAGTCACCCCCAACCGCTTCTTGGGCAGAGATGGATGGAAGGTTGTAGGTTAGGGAGACAGAATGAAGGCCTTTCTTCGGAAGCCAGAAACAGAGGCATAGGCCATGAGATGCAGGATGGATGCTGACAGGTAAGAGGAGAGTTTAGTCACTCCTGCACTCTCATAACCAGTTCACGCTGCTCCTGCTCATCCATGCATACCAGACCTGAACGAAACACCACATGCAGATCCAAGGACACTGGAGACAGGCACCCCTTCTGCAAGAGGGAATTTCAGAAAGGGAAATACACAAGGAGGTGCTTTCCCACAGAGGTTACTGGTGTTGGGAGATGTGCCCACGAGGATGCTCTCTTGCATATGGCACACACCGTCATCTCACACACTTTCTTCCCCATGGTCCAAGCCAGAAGACGAGGGACTGGAGAGTGGTACAGGAAGTCACTTGAAGGTGAGTGAGGAAAGATTCAAGTAGGCAGTGACCCTGCTCACCCCTACCTTCAACCCATTGACCTGAGATCCAAAGAATAATGCTTGAATGGAAAAAACCATCACTAATCTCCTCCCTCCTGGCTATTTTGGGGGAGGAGCCTCTTGGTTTCCTGGCGAAAAAAAGAATCCATCTCCAGCTCTGTGGGAATGAATGGGGAGGGTGACTGGGGTGAGAATTGCCTCCTGGGCAGGCTTGAGTGGAAATAACTGAGTTGCAGTGATGACCATTACTTCCATTTCCTCACCACCACCCCCCACCTGGCCCTGCATTATTGAAGGAGGTAAATTCTTGCAGAAAACGGGGAAACCCTTAAACATTTTTTTCTTATTACAAAAGTATAAAATATAGAAAAATGCAAACCCCCAAAAGGCTGATAATTCCGCCATCCAGTGATAATCACAATTAGTTTTAAAGTATAGTATTTGAAACCTTTTCCTAGATGGCTGTGGCCACGTGGTTTGGGAGTGTAATTCCGAAACATGAAAATCTAGGTATTAAGTTTCCCCCTCCTGTTTATTATGTTAGAATAAGAGGTCAGGCTGCTTTGGTGTGAAAGTTTCTGGGACCTGATGGTGTAGTTCGGTGCCCCCAACCCAGTTCTCCCGCTGCCTGGAGATATTACTGACGAGACATCAGTGGCGGGGAAGCTGGAGAGTTTGCAGGCGTCCTCACTGCCTCATGCTGAGAGAGGTGTGAAAAGAAAGGAGAGAAAAGAAAAAATAGAATGATGATGTCGAATACCACAAAAGGAAGAAACAGTTGGAAGAGAAGGCGAGGAGAGACTCCAAACCTCTGGTCTACCAGCTGGGATGGCGGGGGACAGCTTGGTCCTCACCCTTCCCATGGGGGAGGACAAGGTAAGCAGAGAAGGGCGAGTGAGAAGGTGAAGACCCAGGGATGGGGGCCTGAGCGTTGGGCCTCACCTTTCTCTTCCCCAGACCCTTACACAATGCCCTTAGCAGTCCCTGCACACTTGCTTTGTGCAGCTCAGACTGGGCCAGCCTCCTCCCCTGCCTCGTTCCCTGCTGGCCCCTACCCCTGCCCCCGCACCCAGGACCAGCTTTATGGGTTGCAGTTTCCTTGGCAGGTGCTCCTTTCCTGGCCTGCCTCGCTTATCAAGGCATCTACAACCCCCACCTCATGCTTATCGCTCCCTCCATCTCCTTAGACTGGAAGTCACTCCACAAGGCCCTCACCCCCAGCGAGGCAGAAGAATGTCCCACAAGTTGAGCCCTCCCCACTCCCAGTGAGAACATAATTCCCCTGTATTGTTTTTAACTTTTCCTTTTGGCTGTTAATAAGAAAAAGATCCAGATTTTCTTATTTTCTCCTTTTTGAAACATCAATGGATATTGGCTCCTCTGACTTTCCTTATTTATTTTCCTTTCAATTCTTGTCCTTCTCTAAAGGTGTTTCTGTCTGTCCTGACAATCTCTGGAGCAGATCTCTCTTTCTTACAACAAAAGAAGGGGGCAGTCCCCACTCCTCAAGACCCCCAGAGGGAGGAGGCCAGTGTGAGAACAAGCCAAAAGGTTCCTAAGAAGCAACAAGGTCTGGAGAGTGGTTTGGAGCTGAGATTCCACCTTCAAAATTTGTTCCAATCTCACCGCTAACCGTGAGGTTTGGAGCCAGCACATCCACGAATTCTCACACAGAGAATTCTTCCTTGTTCCCATTTACCTATAGGTCTATTGAGTGAATGCAATTCAATAATATTGATGTACATCTTTGAAAACAACAAGAACATATACAACACGAGCTACAATATACAGCAGTCCCCTCTTATCCTCAGGGGACACATTCCAACATCCTCCAGTGGAGGCCAGGAACTGTGGAACTATGGAACTGTGGATAGGACTAAATCCTGTATATACTGTCTTTCTTTCTACACATACATACATACATGTGATGAAGTTTAATTTGCAAATTAGGCACAGTTAAGAGTTTAGGCCAGGTGCGGTGGCTCACATCTGTAATCCCAGCACTTTGGGAGGCTAAGGCAGGTGGATCACCTGAGGTCAGGGGTTTGAGACCAGCCTGACCAACATGGTGAAACCCTGTCTCTATTAAAAATACAAAAATTAGCCAGGCGTGGTAGTGGGCATCTGTAATCTCAGCTACTCAGGAGGCAGAGGCAGGAGAATAGTATTGAGCCTGGGAGCCGGAGGTTGCAGTGAGCCAAGATTGTGCCATTGCACTCCAGTCTGGGTGATAAAAGTGAAACTCTATCTGAAAAAAAGAAGAGTTTAACAACAATAAAGAAGATAGAAAATTATGATAAATATCCTGTAATAAAGGTTATGTGAATGTTCTCTTTCTCTCTCTCTCTCGAAATATGTTATGGCACTGCACTCATCTATTTTCCAACTGTGGCTGACTTTAGGTAACTGAACACTCAGAGAGTGAAACTGTGGGTAAGGGAAACTACTTAATAAAATACCGCAACATTACTCACTCCTCTTGGTCTTTCATTCCTGAATAGTCCCAAACATAGAATCACGATATCTTTGTCATCTACCTTTGCTCAGTTTCTGCTGTTCAACGTCTATAGAAACTTGGGGACCTCGGGACTCCTCTTACTTTTATCTCCAGGTATAGGAGAACCTGCTCAGGCACACTCCAGGAAGCTGGCCAGTCAAGGTCATGAGGACTTCTCACAGGGAGCGGTTGGTCTGGGAAGGGGTGGGGGGCCAGGAACCCTGGAGATGACCACGAAACACATAAATGGGAAGCTCTGAGAAGCAGCCCGGGAGTCTCTTGGGCCCACTTGTGGAAGGAGGATCAGCAGTGATTGCATGCTTGTGACACATGCTTTCCAGATGCTCCCATGAGACAGCATAGCTGTTACCCCAGTTTCACAGGTTAGGAACTGAGGCTCAGAAAGCTTACCTAACTGTAAGGGATAAGACTCAGGATTTGAACCAGGCTTTGCCTGATTCTTGAGCTGAAGGTCTTTACTTCCTCCTCTCCTTCATCCAATGATCTGCCCACCTTGATTGTGGACCTGCCTTCCATCCCTTTTCCTTTTCCAAGCTCTTTTGCCCCACCCCTCAACTTCTCAGGTCTCAGCAGTCCCAGTCCACAGTGAGGAACCTTCCCCTCCTCCTTTTCTCCTCCTGGGTGGTTCTGTGGCCCTGGGGCTCCGCTCTGCAAACAGCTCCTCCCTCTCCAGGAAAAGCACTTCTCCCCAGGCAGGATGGTCAGTCTCCTCAGCGCACCTGCATGCACACACAGCACATCACAACCACACACTGCACCCACACACCCACAGACACACACTGTGCATGCACACACCTCACAACCCACATACTGCATGCACTCGTGCACACACACACACACACACACACACACACACACAAGCTGCATGCTGCATATACAAGTCACACAGGAGATAAACTCCTGTCCCAGCTCCAAACAGACCCCATCTCTTGTTCAACTGCTGTCATCCTAGACCTGTTTCTTTTGCCACATTTCTATAATCTGCCAGTGCCTGCAAAGAGAAGACATGGGAGGTTTTCTACCTAAAGCAGAAGGGCCCAGGAGCCAACTCCAGAAACTTCTGTCTTCCTTTCTGGTCAGAGAAGAAGACTGGGACCAGCACCTGGACAAGCTTCACATGCTACAGCAGAAGAGGTAGGCTTCCCAAGGGATCCATGTCCCTCCTGCCACAATCCTCAGACCCTCTGACACACCTGGGTATGCTTCCTGGCTAGAGCACCCTAGAATTCAGGGCCAGTCACTCCGACACACCCTTTCCTTCCAGCACCCCCCCACCACCACCAATTACAGAATCCCAGCTGGCTCCTTTTAGTGGTGGTGGAGGATGTGGCTTTGGGCCACACAGGAAAATCTTGAGGGTAGACCTAAGGACAAAGGCAGAATGACAGCAAGGGGAGTGAGCAGACCAAAAAGGACCAGAGGGAAGGAGCCAGGGTGTGTGGGATGGGGAGGACAGGTAAAAGCAGGCTGCTGGTGGAGGGTTGCGCTCCTGTGCGTGGTGGAAGAACAATAAGGAATCAACATTCATTTGAATGAAAGTGGATTGTGTGGGAAAGGGGAGAGCTTTGTTTGGTGTATCTCAGGGTGCTGACCAGCTGAGGAGGGCTGCTCAGGTGGCACTGGAGGGTGCTGAGTTCAGTCCATCTGCCTTTTATGGAGTCTACTGTGTGCAGAGGGGTGCTTGATCCCAAGGACGCAAAGACTGAATGGGACTGGAGAGCTCTCAGAGCTGGCAGGGCTAGCGCACCGGCAGGCAGATCATTTCATGGCTTAGCCCTATGGTCCAGTCCCAGGAAGAGCAGCTGGGGCAGGGATGAATCCCACAGGCAGCCTCTGCCTCCAGGGGTTCTGTGGCTTGCCTTTTGCCTTTAGCCTTTTGTGGACCTGCCTTTCATCCCTTTTCCTTTTACAAAAATTGCTATTTGAGGAGTGAGGTTGGTAAAGTAGACATTAGCAGCCACAAATGGCTCCCCTGTGTTCCAGAAGAGTCTTGTGCTTAGTTCTATGTCCTTATCCTGAAATTCTTTTCTTTTTTTTTGAGACAGAGTTTCACTCTAGTTGCCCAGTCTGGAGTGCAATGATGCGATCTCGGCTCACTGCAACCTCCGCCTCCTTGGTTCAAGCAAGTTTTCTGAGTAGCTGGGATTACAGGCATGTGCCACCATGCCTGGCTAAATTTTTATTTTTGGTAGAGCCAGGGTTTCTCCATGTTGGTCAGACTGGTCTTGAACTCCCGACGTCAAGTGATCTGCCCATCTCAGCCTCCCAAAGTGCTGGGATTATAGGTGTGAGCCACCGCGCCAGGCCTGAAATTCTTATTAATTTTGAACAAGGGGTCCAGCATTTGCAGTTTGCATTGGGCCTGGTCCCAAGTGCCTCTGAGCCCTCACACTGGCACCTCCCCTACCCCATTGCTGAAGTGGAATCTTTGACCTTCCTGCTTGAGAGTGAGACCCCTGGGTCTCTGAGAAAGGGGGCTTCCAGCCCAAACCTGGACCCTCTGCAGAGAGGCAGTGGGGCTAGAGTGCTAGGGAGGCAAGGACTTTCTTTGTGCAGTGGCTTCAGGATGGGGGTGAATTTGCAATCCCAGCCCTGACCACTCTGGGCTGGTCAGGAACACTGGGCTCCCTGGGACTGATTTCCTGGGTGAGACGGGGCAGGGAACTGACTCCTCACAACGGCCCCTCCTAGGGGAGCTGCCTGAACATGGAAACCCAGGCCCCACCTTTAGGTCAAACACTTCTTTAAATAAAAACACTTATTCACCCTGGCTCCTGGGGCTATTGGAAGAGAGAAATTTGGAGGCAGGGGACCTCAGAGCAGCCACTCCTTGGCCTGTCCTTTCTGTTCTTCCCCTCCAGACCCTGCATTTCCCATTGGGGCCAATACTTGCATATGTCTAGTCAGAGAGGCTCCAACTTTATCTCTCGTTGGGTTTGAATCTGGGTATGGTAGAAATGAAGATTAACAGAGGTCCTGTAGAATGAATATCTTAACCTGCTTTGCCTTGAGACACCCAAATAAACAAGCTGTTTAGACCCTTGCATCTAAGGGTACAATGCAGAAGAAACAATATCCTTTACCTCACCACATGACTCTCCACCTTCTGCGGGGACCTGTATCTAAATAGCCTGAAGAGGCCGGGTGCAGTGTAATCCCAGCACTTTGGGAGGCCAAGGCGGGGGGATTGCCTGAGCTCAGGATTTTGAGACCAGCCTGGCCAACTTGACAAAAGCCTGTCTCTACTGAAAATACAAAAAATTAGCCAGGCATGGTGGTGTGCACCTATAATCCCAGCTACTTAGGAAACTGAGGCATGAGAATTACTCGAACCTGGGAGGCGGAGACTGCAGTGAGCTGAGATTGCATTGCTTGCACTCCAGCCCGGGCGACAGAGCAAGACTCTCTCAGACAAACAAACAAAGCTTGAGGGAATAGTCAGAACTTCAGTGGCTCACGAATTTCACAAATTTGAAAAGGTCTGAGAAAGATCTAACAGTTGGTCGATTCCTCCTCCCTCTCTGTTGTTTTCCCCCAAACTCCCCTTGTTTAGAGACAGCAGGTCCAGCAGTCCCAGAAGTAGGGGGACCGCAGGTGGAAGTGCCCTCCGTCTCACTCTTCAACTATCCAGGATCTGAGACAGTTACTCAGGTTAGGTGAATTCAGCCACTCCTAGGGTCCTCCTCTTCTCAGAGAGTCTCAGACCACTCTTTCCAGACCACAGGTTCTCTTCCCTCCTGTTCTAGGCCCTTCCATGAACTATCCCCCTCCAGCAGAGCTTCAGGGTCCACCCTCACAGGAGAATCACCATGATGTGAATTGTAAGGAAGGCTTTGGGGCTGAGCCTTGCCCAAGTCCACCCTGGGTCATTCGAGTCCAGTAGGCATTTCTTTCCGGTGTTCTGCACACTGTGTGCATCACGTTGGTCTTAGAGAATGTCTCAGATCCTCTTTGCTCTTGGCCTTGTTCTGCTCTGACTGTCTCTTCCAAACGCACGTTCACATTTCCCCAGGATTCTAGAGTCTCCACTGCTTCGAGCAGCCAAGGAAAATGACCTGTCTGTTCTTAGGCAACTTCTACTGGACCGCACCTGTGACCTTCGACAAAGAGGTGGGATCTGGATTTCATGGGATGGAGGTGGGGGCAGAAGCACCTACCCCTCCTCCCCAGGACTTTAAGCTTGTGAAATGGGGCCTTGGAGGGTCTCTCTGGACCCTGAGTCCCCTTCCTCAAGGGAGCCTGGGAATTGTCTAACATTCCTGTCTTACTCCACTCCAGGAGCCCTGGGGGAGACGGCTCTGCACATAGCAGCCCTCTATGACAACTTGGAGGTGGCCTTGGTGCTGATGGAGGCTGCCCCAGAGCTGGTCTTTGAGCCCACCACATGTGAGGCTTTTGCAGGTAAGGAGGCCGCACAGTAATTCAAGGCAGAAACTTTTGAGATGGAGGGTGTGCTGTTGTCTCTTAAAACTGGCCTCTGAAGGATGGGGTGGGGTGCGGTGATGGAGGGTCAGGAGGACAGGCTCCGTTGAGTTGGGAGAAATGCAAAGGGCCTGATCTTGGCTTTTAGCTATCCATGGCTTCCTTTAGCATTTCCTCTCCATCCTCCCACAGTCCCTGCAGGACCTATCTCAGTTTCTTTCTCTCATAGCAACATGAGAATGACTATATTTGCAGCAATCCCCTGCTGGTGCCCAGTAGCTGAGGGGTGGGTACCATGAGCAGGGCAGCCTGAGGAGTGAACCGTTGTCAGTCCCAGGCCACCCTCCCGAGCCCAGGGCAGAAGTCTATGCAAAGATCCACCAGGAACCTCCTGAGAGGAATGGTGGGGGATGCTGTGTCCCCGAGAGAACTGGGGACAGAGGCAGACCCCTGATGACAGCTGTCTCTGGACCAGGTCAGACTGTACTACACATCGCTGTTGTGAACCAGAACGTGAACCTGGTCCGAGCCCTGCTCTCCCGCAGGGCCAGTGTCTCTGCCAGAGCCACAGGCACTGCCTTCCGCTATAGTCCCCGCAACCTCATCTACTTTGGTGAGAGCAGGGCTGGGCTTGGAGGAGGGGCAGCTGGAGAGGCAGGCAAGGCAGAGGGAGGCCAGGGCAGGAGGGTCCTGCCTTCAGCTCTGTCTGTTGGGCAGCTGGGAGGGGCAGCCCTTCTAGGGCTTAATTAAGCCAGAGGCTAATTCCCTCCATGATCCTTCCTCTGGCTCTGTTGGAAGAGTGTCCCCCGAAGCCCAGAGCTGAGATGTAGGGGAAGAGGAGGAGGGCATTACTTGGGATAGACTGCCCACCCCATCCTGCCATCCTGCACTCTCCTGCCATGGATCTCTCTGTGTCCCCAGGGGAGCACCCTTTGTCCTTTGCTGCCTGTGTGAACAGTGAGGAGATCGTGCGGCTGCTCATTGAGCATGGAGCCGACATCCGGGCCCAGGACTCCCTGGGTAAGAGCCGGGATGGGGAGGGAAGCTGGGATGCTGCAGGGAGTGAGGGGCAGGGTGAAGAGAGGGGCTGGGACCTTCAGGAAGACCCCAGAGTGGGGATGGGAACATCATCAGGGACATTAGGCCAGTGCCCACATGATACACTGCATCTTCCCCAGGAAACACAGTGTTACACATCCTCATCCTCCAGCCCAACAAAACCTTTGCCTGCCAGATGTACAACCTGCTGCTGTCCTATGATGGACATGGGGACCACCTGCAGCCCCTGGACCTCGTGCCCAATCATCAGGGTCTCACCCCCTTCAAGCTGGCTGGAGTGGAGGGTAACACTGTGGTGAGACACACTCCCCATCCCTGAGGTGTCTTTCTAATGACCCTCAACCTACCCCGCTGGCCATGGGAGAAGCAGAGGTGAAGGACCTACCTTTTTTTAAAATCCCTTTTCCCCACACTCCCCAAAGAGATGGTGGTCCCTTGCTTCCTCTTCCATCACTGAAATCTTCAGCCTCAAGTTCCTCGACTCAAGGGGATTTGAGAACCTCACCTTAATGCATGTGCTGTAGTAACCCACAGCTCTAGCTTTGTTTGCCTATTTTCTTCTTTCTGAGCTCTCTGGGGTTTTGGAGCAGGAAAGATGACAAAAGGGAAGCTTACAGATACAGAGGTTTGCTAATTCCACACTGTCTGACTGTTTCAAGGGGTGGGCAACTGGCTCCGTCCAGTGGAGTTGTTCCTCTAGACCACCTTCTCACACATTGAACCCTGACCCATCCCGGTGGTCTCTCAGATGTTCCAGCACCTGATGCAGAAGCGGAAGCACATCCAGTGGTCATATGGACCTCTGACCTCCATTCTCTATGACCTCACGGAGATTGACTCCTGGGGAGAGGAGCTGTCCTTCCTAGAGCTTGTGGTCTCCTCGGATAAACGAGAGGTATGGATGCCAAGGAGAACCAGGGCTGCCGTGTGAGGGAATTTAGTGCTTGTGCAAAGTCTGTCCACCTAAGATCCTGGGCCCAAGGCACTTCCCAGCCTTAGAATAGGTGGAGATTAACACAGTCTCCTGGGACCTGGGGAAAAGTCCAATGCACATTCTTATCCTGAATCCCCTGTCTCTCTGCTTAGCTGCAGTCCCTTCTGCCTACCTTTCTCATCCTAACATTTCAGATGAGAAACTCCAAATCAGAGTGGTTTTCTCATATTCATTCACTGGATCAGCACTGATACGGTTTGCATTTTTGTCTAAATGCAAAAATTTCATGTCTAATTGTAATCCTCAGTGTTGGAGAAGGGACCTGGTGAGAGGCGACTGCATCATGGGGACAGACGTCCCTCTTGATGTTCTCTTGAGTTTTCACAAGATCTGGTTGTTTAAAAGTGTGTGGCACCTCCCCTTGCTCTCTCTCTCTTCCTCCTGCCCCAGCCATGTAAGATGTACCTGCTTCTCCTAGGCCTTTTGCCATGATTGTATGTTTCCTCGGACCTCCCCAGAACCTGTACAGCCTGCAGAACCATGAGCCAATTAAACCTTTTTTATTTATAAATTACCCAGTGTCAGGTAGTTCTTTATAGTAATGTGAGAATGGACTAATGCAAGCATATTGAACACCTGCTGTATGTCAGGCACTGCACAAGAAACCAACAATACAGAAATAAATAAAACACAGTTTCTGTTCATTGACTTCCTCAATTCTCAATCCTTGTCCTGAATAATTGTAACAGAGTAGGACATATGCCATAATAATGGTGTGTACCATGCATACAGACAGCCACATTGAGGTCGAGTTAACTTGGCTTGGACAGACCAGAGAAGATGTCACAGATTAAATGCTGAGGCTGGATCTTCAAGGAAGAATTGGGAGTCACCAGGAAGATGAGGAAAGAAAAAGAGCTTTTTAGAGAGGGAGCAACATATAGGCCATTCAGTAACGCTGGGTTGAGTGATGTAAGGGAAAGGAAAATTTGTTGAAGATTGCAGTAGAGAGGAGAAAAGACCTCCAGGTTTCAGGATGCTCCATGAGAGTGGCAGGATGTGGTTTATGCTCTTTATTTGCCACATGACAGTCTCCCAGGAACCCTTACAGAGCCAGAAAATATGATGACTTAATACTAATGAATAGAAGAAAAGGCGAGTGGCCAGTTTGTGAGATCTTCCTCAGAGATTATCCCTGGAAACAGATTAACTTTGAGCAGGAATGAAAAGCACAATCCCATGTGGATTTCACTACTACATATCCTTGGTCTTTGATTTAAGCTATTCTCAATATTCTCCAGCAGGTTTCATACCTGTCTTGGGTCAGTTGCTTTTTTCCTCCCTAAATCTTCCTCTCTAGCTCTATTTCACATCCCTCACTATCTTCAGCTGTAGTTTTGAAGACCTAGAACCCTGCCTTAGGATAAAAATCGAGGCTTTCTGGCTGGGGGTCCTTTAGCTTCCTGCCCTAAATGGCCAGGCATGTCTGGAAACTGCCACTGTCCCTCTCCTCCCCTCCAGCTTCCATAGAAAAGGTATTCTTGCTGTTAATGGCCACTCTATTGTGCTTTGAATCTGCCTCTTTCTAATCTCTCAGATGTCTCTTTCTGGCCATCATCCCCTCTCCTGTGTATCTTTAGCATCTCACCGATTGCTTATATCAGAGCATCATCCCACCCTGCCACATCCTATTGCCTGTAACCTCCATTGCTTCTTTCTAGCCCAGCAATACTTCTAGAACAAATCTGACTACTTCTGTGCTTGAATTCCCCAATTGCTTTCTGTTATATTTAGAAAAAACAAAAAAATGCAAACTTCCTACCTTGGCGTTTTTGATGCATGACACCCTTTTCTACCTCAGTCATTATCATTTTTGCTCACCACTCCCAGTAGATTCTCTCTTCTCCCCAACCACACCTCAGCTGCAAATGGGCAGTGGGTTCTCAGAGCTTCCTGACCTTACAACTGCTGCTACCTTATGGCATGATCTTTCCTAACTCTCCCTTTACTCAACCAACTACTGTTCATCCTTTAAATCCTCTGTGGTGCTATGGTGTCTTGTGTTTACTGCTATAATCGTCTATCTGTGTCAATAGCACAAGGCCCAGCATATACAAGACATATACTATTTGTCCATCAAAGAGGTGACTGATGAGCTGAATGAGTGATGCTTACTGCCCTGCCTCTTCTGGTACACAGTAAAAAAAACAACACCCTTCTGCGTTGTTCACCCCAAGTTTCACTCCACTTTTATGGCAGGCTCGTCAGATTCTGGAACAGACCCCAGTGAAGGAGCTGGTGAACTTCAAGTGGAGCAAGTACGGGCGGCCATACTTCTGCGTCCTGGCTGCCTTGTACCTGCTCTACATGATCTGCTTCACCATGTGCTGCGTCTACCGCCCCCTTAAGTTCTATGGTGGCAACCGCACTAATTCTCGAGACATCACTATCCTCCAGCAAAAACTACTACAGGTGATTGTTCTTCTCAGAAGGGGATGAAAGGGAATTGCATCATGGGGGTGATGGTGCTGGAAAGGAAGTGATGCTACTCAGGGATGACACCACTCTCTGGGTTCCAACAGGTGTAGCCTCCTGAACACCCAGGTCGAAATTAGACATGAGACCAGGAGGCCAGAGATGGGCTTTAATAAGTACAAGAACGTTTGTCCAGGGAGCTGTGGATTTTCTCAGACAAACTTTGAAAGAGTACTTGGAATGAGTAAGCCTGTGCATTTGTGAAATTTTTTGGTAATTTACAAAAAGTATCAGGCTTTTGTAGTGGGATGTTTAAGGTAAACTCTATTGCTTGAAAGGAGAAAAATTGCTCCAAGTCAATTTCTGAGTCTATTTCTGCTGTGTTGGGGGCAACATGGATGGCCCTGCTGGCCTGCATCCTCTTCTGTGCGTGGTCTATATGAGCCTATGGGAATAATGGGTCAGCCATCTGCCTGTCAGATACTCTGCAGAAAGATGTCTGGATTGGGTATCAGGTTGAAATAAATACTCTCTGAGGTTCCATTTATGTTATGTAGGGTTGCCATCCTGTGTTGTGGTGGCCAAGGGAAACCTGGTGTGAGGAAGAGGAATGATTAGAGGTACAGAGTAAATATAGAAATCTGCTGTTGAAGAAAGTAACCCCCTTTTTTTTGCAACAGAAAGGGTAAACTCTAATGAGCACTTCTGAACATATATAATTAACAAATATAGCTACATTTGGGAGTTGACTCTTTGTGGATTACTAAAACTTTTGTCCTGGTGAGCCGAAAATACACAGAAGGTGATTAGGTACATAGGCAGAAAGCAAAAGACCAGGAAAAAGAATTTTGCAAAGCAAGTGAGAGCTGAGTGACTGAAGATTATCTTGATGCAGGAAGGGACAGCTACAGGTATAGCTCAACCTGGACTAGGAAGAGAGGTAGTTTGGGTCAGAAAAAGAATATAAACTTTCTATAGCCAAGAAGCAAAAATCTTGAGTTGGTTTAGACCAAAGACAGTGGTATGCACAGAGAAAGAACAGGGCAAAGATACCCAATGAAACCCATGCTAAGTAGAGACACTTCACCTCTCCTGGTTCTAGAATTGCCTTTCTATATATATGTGCAGTGTGTCATGTGTCCAGAGCCACTGCCTCTCACCAGGTAGGGTTGCTGCCTGGGGAAGACAAGCCTGAGTGTGTTAGAGACACTCAGAGAGGCTGTGCTCCAAGCATCTCAGTCTGGGCACAAAAGCTGTCCCTGGCATAGGACATGAGGGAGATAAGGACAGTTAGGAGATGGCAAGTAGAGGGAGGAGTGATTAAAAATTGAGAAAATGTGTACACACAAACACGTTGAGGGTGGCTGGACTTTTCCGATGCTCCTGGCGCTATTTCCTCAGATACGTCTTTTCCAACCTTCCTTTGTCTCAAACTTATTTGGAGATTTTCTGCATTTTGAATGTAGACAGTATTCTGGGTTAAAAGGTGGACAATGCTGAGCCACTGATGACCAGAATCTCCTTCCTGTGTGTCTCTTTCTCCTTGGGACAAGGCTAGTTATGTACAAACAAGTTTCTTTGATCCAGATAGTCTATATTTAAAAGATCGCCTCCTTTGTGTCAGGACTCAGAAGCATAATTATAGCTGAACACCTGACCCATCATTCTTTTTTTCTCTCTTCTGCCTTCCTTCCTGTTCCTTGGCATTTTTACCCTTTTGCCTTCTGCTTCAGTGAAAGCCACTTCAGCTCAAATAGAAGACTTTGGACTTTCAGACATTCTTTTCTCAGTGGAGAAGTGGGTGGTTAAGAGGATTAAGAACGCTGCTGGAAGGGGTTCGATAACAAAGAACACTAGTGCAACGTCCCTATGCTGTGAGCCCCGGACCTGATTTATGGGATGACTATATTCTTCTTCAGTAGTAAGCCCATGTGGATTAGATCAGGGGCTTCTAAACTTATCACCATGATTTGAAAGATTCTGTTTTCACAATACACCAGATTTGCTAAATAATAGGAAATTCACGTTTTTTTACTACTGTTTTCTTACTTGAAAGTCTTAGAAAAAATGAAAATGCACAAATACAGTGTCTTGATTTGAGGCATGCATTGTTGACATATTTGTTAGCCGGTGGAGCGTCTTCTTAGATGAATGAATACTTTACCATCCAATTATATTAATAACTCTGGGATCACAGGGATCTCAGTTACTTCAGGACTTCCTCTGCAGATCTCTTGGGATCTGTGGAAATCACTGGGCTCCATGACCCCTAAGATCCTTTCTAGTTTAACATCTGGGGTTTTATGGGAGCAGTGCAAGAGCAGCATCTCAGAACAGGTGAAAAAAAACCAAATTCCTCTGTATAAGGCAGCAAAAACTATGCAAAAACGGATGTATGTAAACCTGGAGTTAGTTTATCTCTATCCAATTGGGGAGGCTTTCTTAGTAACCCTAAGATCCCTCATTGTTCAGCCATAAAAGTTCTGTTTCACCAGAGATTGCCCAGAACTCTATTAATTTGAGTTAACTTCTTATCTCCGTTATGTTTCTACTTGGTTTAGCTAAAGCAGCATGCACTACAGTAAAAGTTCTCTTAAGTTTCCAGGTGAGCAAAAAGTTCAAAGTCCAGAAGTCCAGCAGTGTGGGTTTTAGCCCTAACTCTGAAATTTAACAGTTGTGTGTCCTCGGGAAAATCCCACTTCCTGTTAGATCTGTGATTTTAAACCCAGACTGCTCATTAGAAACCTAGTAAAAAAGCTAGTAAAATGACTGGCTCCTAGGCTACACCCTAGACCTAATAAGTTAGAATGTCTGAAGCTGAGGCTCTGGCCTTGGTATTTTTAAGAGACTCTTTGAGTGAGTCAAATGTTCTGCCAGGGTTGAGAACCCCTGGCTTCCATCTTTGAGGTCCATGTAGCTCCGCCTTTCCGGTCCTAGGTCCACCACTCTGGTCACTGAGATTCCTGGAGCACTGTTCAGCAGGGGGTTCTAATTTCTCGTCATGTCTCCCTTTTCACTTTGAAAAATAATCTCTTGAGCCCTCCTTTGCTTTTCTCTTTCCCAGAAATGTTTTGCTAATCCATTCATTAAATAAATTATTATTGAGAGCCGCATAGAGGCTAAACAACTATTTCGGGTATTGGAAGTTCAACAATCATAGTCTGAGCAGAACACTCATGATCTCTGCTTTCCTGGTGTTTCTGGCTGGGTTGATATTAATCAAATGATCATGCAAATAGATATTTCATTACAGTCTATGACTGTTGGCATCAACGTTATTTTTTTTTCTTATGATGAGAAAAGCACAGAGTGGGAAAAAAACTTGTAACAGGGGTCTGGTCCATCTGGGAGGCCAGAGACTGCTTCTGAGAAAGATGACTGAGCTCAGATCTAAGTATGAATTCAGTGTGAAAAGAGAGTTCTAGACAGAGAGAATGCATATTCAAGGCCTCAAGGCAGGAAGAACCTCATCGAGGTCTGGGAATGAAAGAAGGCTCTCTAGAGCACAGAGGGCTGCGGTGGGTGCCTCCAGGTGAGGTTGTCCAGGTAGAGCCTTAAAGGCCATGTTGAGGATTTCACTCTTTATCCTCAGGGTAATGGGAAGTCAGAAGGATTTGACAGGGGGAGACTTACGGGTAATTTTTGTTTTAGAAAAATTACTTTGCTTGCATGGTGAATAACAGACGTGTGGGGTGGTAGGAAGGACACGGGGAGACCAGTCAGGAGGCTATTAGAGTTTAGCAAGCAGAAGATAATGGCAGATTGGCCTAGGAATGCAGTGGGGAGATGGAGGGAAGGGATTGGCATCAGGACTTGTTGAAGGCAAAAGTCATCCCGACTGTGTTTCCGTCTTTTAAAAATCATCTGCCTGTCACAGTCAGTGGGATCTATTTGTCTACACATCATCATCCCTCGTAGTTCTGCACAACCCAAAGCACCACTGCTATTTGAAAAGCGACTGATTGCCAGCTCTATACACCTCTGTTCAGGGGTCCTAACCAACCCACGGTGGAGCAAGCACAGCACATTAAAGACAGGGAAAGAGATGAGGAGAACCAGGAAGCCCGGTAGGTAGAAGTAACATCCACTGAGCGCTTATCATGTGCCCTTCACATGCATCCATCGGTGTTTTTGAGGCTTTAGTAAATGTGGATTGTGTAAGGCTGGGTGGGACCTGAGACTTGGCATTTCCAGCAAGCTGCCAGGGGAGGCCAGTGTTGTGATTCTGTGGACCATGTTTTGAGTGGCAAAGCATTATTCTATCTTTAATCTTCATAGAATGAAGATTATTTACCTAACAAGTGAATACAGTCATCACCACTTTAAAGATGGTGAGTCTGAGGTCAAGAGAGGTTGAACACTTTGGCAAAGACACTCAGCTAGCAAGGGTAGCACTGGGATTGGACTGCAGGGCTGCTTCCCTTCAGAATCCTCACCTTTAAACACCAGACAAGTCCACTTGTCCCTGCAGAGCGATGGGCTAGACCCCAGTCTTCTCTCTTGGCTAGCCGGGGCTTGCCACACTCACTTTTATCTACACATCTCATCTTCCCCTGTCAAGATGAGCACTTGAGAAGTGCTGTAGGAGGAGATCAGATTGAAGAGGATTCCCATTCCCAGATACTGACTTACTGGCTATTCTCTAGTTTTGATTATTGGCACTATTTTTTGATGGGCTTAACCTACTGGCATATAGAGCAAGTCATAATTCTGTGAGAATGAGTAAAGACTCTTCAGAAGAAAGAGGTAATTTCCCAAGCCAATCCTCCTGAGAAAATACAGAGACTGAGACATGAAATTCACCCTTGGAAGGCAGCTTAACTTACATGGGAACCAGCTCTCTCTCTCTCTCTCTCTTTATGGCCCAGTGGTTCTCAACTTGGGGTACATGTCCAAAACATCTATAGAACTTTTCGAGAAAATGGCAGGGCATGGTCTCTCACGCCTGTAATCCCAGCACTTTGGGAGGCTGAGGTGGGTGGATCACCTGAGGTCAG